ATGCATTATTAATACAATTCTTTGCTTTATAACACTACAGTATATTAGTTAATATGTCCTGTTTATCATCTTTATGAATAATTGTTTAATAAAACAGTAATTATCGACCCTATAGTTTATGGCGCCATCTCGTAAGATATCGTTGAAGTTTGTAGTGAACACAGTTCTCACTGTTGCACCTAGATGGCGCTACTAACCAAAGTATCAATAATTATTATTTTATTAAATAGTTATTCAGAAAAATGATAAACAGAAAATATTAACTTATCTATGGTAGTGATGTGAAGCAAAGAATCATATTAATTACGCATTTATGAAAAATAAAGAATAATTAATTAAAAGTATCGGTGGCGTTATCTGTTAGAAGTAGTGGGAACTATGTTCACTACAAACTTGGGCGTTTTCCCGGTGATGGCGCCATTGGTATTAAAACCAATATCAGTATAATTTAATGATTGATTTCTTTCAGGAAACGATCACTATGTTTGGGAACGATAAATTCTTAAGCTTTTCCACTCGTAGAGCTTGGATGCACTCGTTTACATTTAAAAATCATTAAATACGTATAAGCTAGATACGAAGTCTTTGTTCGAACTATCAAAGAATGGCCCAGATTATTCTGGCGCGAAACGACATTATTTCAAAGTCCTTCTCGAACTAGATATAAAGCATTTCGCAAGTTAAGTAATTAAATTATTAAAACTATCGCAGTCCTTCTCTACCGTCGTATGGGACGCAGTACTGTAACCTTCGAATGATACTTGTCGCTTTAATTACAATTATATAGTAATAGTATAGTAAACTTGAAAAAGTTACTACAATGTATAGTTCGGGCAACGCCTGTCGGAATGAATTGTCATCTATGACCGTGTGGTGTTTCGCATTATCCGTTTCATCGGTTTGGAATGCAACTTTCCGTCAAAAGGAGAGTTCAGGTTAACGTTCAATCGTGTGGATTGGAAATTTGCACGTCGGCCAGCTGGCTTCTGAAGAAATTTGGCTGGTACTTATCGGTGTCTAATTTGTAAGTATTCGAAACGTATGTATTACGAAAATCATTCAATAAAAAATGCAAGAGCACTTAGCAGAATACTTGCAATGACTTACAATTTTTCGACTTATCTATCAACGTGAAAGTTTGTGCAACGTTAATATATAAATTTTATTGCATAATCGTTATATTTATCGAATATTTATGCATCTAGCGAACTGAATAATACGAAACTATAAGAAAATGAAACATTTAAAAGTCACATTGGTAGAGAACGTATAAAGAGATTTGTTGTGTACATTTGTTTATTTAACAGTATCATTTAAGAACAGAATAATTAAGTGTCAATAACAAAGAGCAACGTTAACTTTAGGTTTCCTTGTGAACTTGTTATAAGAATTTCTACATGCATTATTTTTAATTTTTAACTATTGTTATAGTTGGTCCAATATGTCAAATCCTGCAGAGCGTTTAAATTATATACAAGATAGCAGTAGCGACACAGAGACGGACAAAGAAACAGGTAGCAGAGGACGACATCGCATTTATAAGAATCGAATGAGGTACAACCTTTTTTTTTTTTTTAAATATGAGTATAACACTGAACATGGAAGAAGATATAAAAATTATGAAATATTTTTATCAATATTTTATATTAGCAGCTTAATTTTTTTTACATTATTGAAATAGGCAACATCTTAGACAAGCAATAACATATTAATCTTATCTGTAATTTATTATTTTATTACATATTTCATTTCAGTAATTACATGTTTAAAATGTAGCATGTATTTAAGGCTGTTGTCATATAGTACGTTATACGCATGCCTATTAATCTTTCAATTAAAGGTAAATAATTTTTGCTCGTTTATATATATCTTAATATTAAATTAGTTGAGAAATAGCATATCAAAGAATGACATATTAAAATTTATCTCACATTATTCTATATGATTTTGTACAATTTTGTTTTATATTATGCAATTATGTTTTTGTTTCCAATCATGTTTCATATGCTTTCAGCAACATATTTTCGTTTTATCGATGTATTTACTTACTTTTAAAAGAATAAAGAAATAAAAAGTTACTTTAAACAGAAAATTTAATACCCGTACTACGATTAAACTGATAATTTCTATAATAAAAACTTCGTGTACATACACTTCTATATATTTTAAATTAGCTGTCTCATTAGAATTAGTAGACATTACACGATGCTTGTTGAATGCGATCATTAGAAAGGTAATGTCGTTGTTTTGCATGTAGTTGTGGTGGCTCTTCCAAACCAAAATCTTGTCTGGTACAAAGAGACGGAAGCAATGAAAGGCACTGTCATTCCTTCAATTCTGGCAGACAAAACACAAATGTTAATCAACAAAACAGGTAATATTTACAACTGAACGACAGATTGCAAACAAAAAATTTTCCTTTTATCCTTTTGTCAAGGTATATAAACATTTCTTGTTTCCATTCGTAACATAAGACATAATTACTTTACCCTATTATTATATAACCCATATTATACCCTACTTTATTCTTTATATTGTCAAAACAAGAGTCCAGGCATCAATACCCAAGAGGTAGGTGTTGTCTAGAAATTCATTTAACACTGTGCATTGCTTTTGTGTGTTTATGAGCAATAGTTTCACCGTTTTTTAATATAAATATTAAACAGTCTTCCGCGATTATTTAGAATACATTTGTCTTTAGACTTTGCTCTGGAGTTGGCATCGGAAAAAGTCAACAAAGTCAGAGCAGGGATAATTTACCATCATCTGGATCCATAAGCGGTATAAGCAATCCGCAAGCTAGCGATGAACGAATTACTCTTATTGTCGACAATACCAGGTAAGTATTTCCAAATGAAACATTCAACACCAGTACAATTGCATCAACGACAAAAATCAACTGATTTTCAGATTTATTGTCGATCCAGCACTGTTCACTGCGCATCCTAATACAATGCTAGGTAGAATGTTCAGTTCGGGTGTCGAATATGCTCAACCAAATGAACGCGGCGAATACGAAGTTGCAGATGGGATATCCGCTATGGTATTTAGAGCTATCCTTGATTATTACAAGGGCGGAGTAATTCGCTGTCCACCAACGGTTGCGGTTCAAGAACTTCGAGAAGCTTGCGACTACCTCCTCGTTCCGTTCGACGCTAGTACAGTGAAATGTCAAAATTTAAGTAAGTAGAGATTATAATGGATTGCAATAGATATTATAATTTACACCCATCTTTTTCATCAATCCAAAGAGATCATAGTATAGCAACGTATTTAAAATGATCGTGTAAGTGACACGATTGCAACACCTCCATCTATTTTCAACACAGAGTACAAGCACGTTGACGCAACGTTTCTCAAATTATCTAATTGTAACCATTCGTCGTTAAAAACGTGGTTATCGCTTTTCCATATGCGGTATAACACAGAAAACAATCACAGCCAGCTATGATCGATGATTTGAGAAGCATCGCGTTGACGCGCATCGAATAGCAAGAGCTCTAGAAACTAGACGATTTATTATAGGAGGGTTATTACATGAGTTATCTAACGAAGGCGCACGCTGCCAGTTTGAAGTCTTCCTCGAGGACTTAATATTACCACTGATGGTAAACAGCGCGCGTAGAGGTGACCGTGAATGTCATATTGTCGTTTTACTGGAAGATGATGTCGTCGACTGGGACGAAGAGTATCCTCCGCAAATGGGAGAAGAATATTCGCAAAGTAAGAAGAACATAATGTATCATCTCGTCCGTTTGTTAACCGTGTACTCTTCCATCCGTATATTTTACTAACGCTACGTTTTTATTTTATCCTGCAGCTGTCAACAGTACCGCGATGTACCGATTCTTCAAGTATATCGAAAACAGAGACGTAGCCAAGCAGGTAATGAAGGAACGTGGTTTAAAAAAGATCCGTTTAGGTATCGAAGGCTATCCAACTTACAAGGAGAAGATCAAGAAGAGAGCGGGTGGACGAGCCGAGGTCATTTACAATTACGTGCAGAGGCCTTTCATTCACATGTCCTGGGAGAAAGAAGAAGCGAAAAGTCGGCACGTCGACTTTCAGTGCGTCAAATCAAAATCTGTGACGAATCTCGCGGAAGCCACTGCCGATCCCGTACTAGACGCTGGCGGAAACCCGATAGGGATTGGTCTTTTACAACCGTCGGAGCCAGTGTCTCAGCCGGAGATCGTGTTGGCAGTCGGCTCTGATGCCGACGTCGAAGGTGCCATAGGTTTGCTAGCTGATCAAGATCTCGGGTCAGTACCGCCCGACGAGTTACCATGAACGTTCGTTCCGAAATTGAGGCTGAACAAACTACCAAGTATTTACGGATCGCTTTCTTCATGCGTCAATTTCTAATGTTAGTCAGACTCGCTTACCTCACAGTTTCGTTTTATATTGGATAAATCAAGTTGAAAAATCCAAAGTTGATTTTTCCAAAGAGAAAGCTTCGACGTGTTTTACATATTTTTATAAAGTAACCGATATTAGTTAAATAAAATCGCTTACATTCAAACGGTGTTCCGAATAAAGGGAAGCGGTGGGAGAGGAGGTCTTTCGTGGGTTAGGCAGTCTGATATCGACCCAGTCGGAACGATAATACCGTGAAAGTATCGCATCTCGTGGATGTTCACCTAGTATCTTGTGATAGCCTTCGTACGTGGCGTTCAAATTAGTTTAATGATAATCGTTGCGACTTTTTCAATTTTGTATGTAACGTTAAACGTTTCTTATAATAATTACGTGTCAAATATGAACCAATGATTCGTTCGGTATGTATTCACGAAAAGCAGTTTCCCATTTTATACGATTAATAAAGTTGAATACCGTTTCCGAGTCTATCTCTCCTTGTTCTTTGATTACTTTCGAACGAAAACTGTTTTCACGACAAAATTTACCGATTTGCCGCCGATGACGTCTACCATTAATTTAAAATTAGTTCGGCTGTAGCAATGTAAATATTTCTATTTTTATATTTTTTATATTTAGGACTAATAGACCTACACAGGTTTAAAGTCCGTATATGTTTATTTTTTAATAAACGCCAAACAACAAAATTAGTTCGGTATTTTTACCGCTAGATGGCCGACGATTTATCAGCTTTCTTTGCGAAACAACTAACGAAACTGACTATCTTTGGTCCATTCTATATTTCGTCTGTGGTTGTTTATACAGTAAACTTCGCACGACTTTAATTGAAACTGTTGCCCGATTTCAAATTCCTTTAACAATTCCCGAACAGTGGCAAACAGCACAAAGAGAATGAAGCTATCCCAAGCTTTCGTTGAAACTGATACAATAAATACCAGCTCGTGTAGGTTATGTCTTCGCTCCGAAGTCTGCTTAACGTCAATATTTACCGAGGGAGAAGCGTCCAAATGTTTACGTTCCCGCATTCTAGATTGCTGTCCCGTCACGGTGAGTTACACGAATAAATTTCCTTCGCTATCGTTCAGGCCGACGGTTTCCAAAATTGTTAATATTTTCCCACCACCGAACCGTAAGAAACAAAGGGATTTTCGCGCGAAATATTCGCACGTTCAATTTAAATTCGAAATTAACTCGTCCCGACTGATTTCAGCTGTTCGAAGACAACCGGCTGCCGCAGGCGATTTGCAGCGTGTGCAAAGACCAGGTAGCAGTTACGTACCAGTTTCGCGAGCAATGCAGAAAATCGGAACGGTGGCTTCGATCGCTTTATGGATCCAATTGTTGGAGCGACGAACCGCGCCGCATCGACACGCCGAACTGCAAAATCGTTCGAGTAGGTTTGAAAAGCTAGCTTTGAAAGGGAGCGTATTGGAAATGAGAATACTAAAATACTGAATTTATTGACTGATGAACGTTAAAAGAAAAACATAGAAAGAATTTCTAGCTCTATACAGCGTAGTTTTATAGCGCATCTGTTTAGTCTTTAGTAGACTACAGGAAGTGTCTTCTCAGGCATTTAAGAGGATAGGCCACAGCCTAAACAAAAACTTTCTCTTTCATTATTCTGCAGTGACAGATATAACGTTATATTATACATATATTCTCAGTACATTCATTTTTATAGTAAAATGACATGTTGCTGTTTAGTAAATATTCCAACTCAAATATTATTTTGCTTCTTCTTCAGGATTGCGGCGTACAAACCGATGAAAGAACAGGAGCATCTATCCATTCGGAGAAAGAAATAGACGATAATCGAAACGCATCTCGTGGAGAAACGATCGTGGAACGCCCATCGCGAGTTAGTCTAATAGAAAAGAAAGAAAGAAAGGAAGAGACTCTTTTGGCGACGACTCGATCCACGAAGAGGACCGTTGAAGGATCGGGAATCGTTGAGGAGAAAAGGAGCAGGAAGGATGCGACCGTCGCTCATCGATCCCAGCAAAACACGCAAGAGAGTACAATGATCGAACATGTCTATTCGGAGGAGCTCCAGTTTCCAGAGGATACGCGCATCTCGAACAGCACGCATAAAGATAAAGATGGGAATGAAAGCTCTGAAAATCGAGCGAAACCGACCGACGGCGAAACAGGGAAACCGTACCTGTGCGACGTCTGTAGCAAGACGTTCGCCTCCAAGTCCGGATTGCGGTTTCATTTCAAGACACACGGCGGCGCGAAGCCTCACCTGTGCCGGCATTGCGGCAAGGGGTTTGCCATTCCGAGTTACGCGAAAAGGCACGAGCGAACCCACGTGGGCGACAAACGTTTCGTTTGTCATTTTTGTAGCGCCGCGTTCGCCTCCTCGAACGGTCTCAAGTATCACTTGATGTCCCACACCGGCGAGCCGAGTTACCGCTGCGAAACTTGCAGCAAGGCTTTCTATCGTTACAAATACCTCAAAGAGCATATTTTCACCCACACGGGGGAGAAACCGTTCGTTTGTAAAACGTGCGGCTTCGCGTATGGAAATTCTGGCAGCCTGTTCGTTCACGAAAAAAAGTGCAAGGCGAGATTATCGCGCGTCAACGACGAACGCGAAGCCACGGTCGAAGCGCCGAATCGCGACACCGATTTCGGAGATTGATCTTCGCGAGAAGTCACCGTGCGAGAATTTGATTCTTCTCTTATGGAAGCGAAACAGAATGGCAGAGACAGGAGGAAGCAGCATCGAAGGTAGAAGTTTCCTCTTTATTTCTCGGCATTCGTGACGAGTTATAAATATTGTCTGGTCGCGGGACGAGATTTCTCCGATGCAATGGAATCATTTTTACCATTGTTTATGTTCCCGCGGTGCGAGCGACCATCGACGTGCCTACGACCTACGACGACCTACGATCCTAGGTGAGAGGTAAAAGATACAATAAAAAATTCGTAATTGTACCTTCGCAAATAGATTATCAGTCGATCGAGGGAACGCTTGTAATGAATATAATAATAATAATAATGCGAACTATTCGTAGTTTGTAACGATATCAGTCACGCGCTCAAAACTAATATAATCTAACACAGTGGTGCACGAAGATGACCCGTAAAATAAAATTGAAAGCAAATACACGATTGTGGTTGTATACTTGTGTTTGTATTTTTAATCTAAAATACCCTGTATACTTTGTTTAGAGTGTATAACCCTTCCAAGAGCACCTCCATTTGTATAAAAACTATTTCCCAATTATGGACGCGAACAGAAACAAAGGCAGAGACCATCCGGAGACTAAAAATTGTTAAATGTATTACGGACCTGCTACAAACTCATCGAAGCTAAATTAAAAAGCCAGTAGAAAGTAAGCAGGGACTCGAATAAACTTTTAACCCTTTGCACTCGAGAGGTGACTCTCAGTCACCGCTAGGTTTTCTTTAGGTTTAATTTCGTTGGAACTCGAAGTGTCGATAAAACGATTGTCGTTGAGCCAAAGGTGACCTGATTCTCAAATCTCAAATTGAGCTTAGCACTCGTGACAATAGAATGCTAAGAAAGCATCTCGTGTGCAAAGGGTTAAATATATAATTTTCAATAAATTCGATATTCACGTTAAATATAAATATATTAGTTTCTTCCCATCTTAGCCCCAAAGTTCGAACCGTACAAACTACCGTTTTACTTCATTTGTTTCAGTATCGAGAGAGGCGCACCACTGACCTAACGCAACGTAATTTTAAAGTCTTTGGCATCGCGAAGAGAGATTCGACGAACGGGCGCTACCGCGATCGCCGACAATTCGAGTTTCTGCGGACGGACATCTCCGAAGAAGCGATCGACATCCATTGGTTGGTGTCGGAACGAAACCAAGTCAACCCTAAGGAATACTTCCCGTTGAGATTGGCGTGCTGGCAGCGACTGAACCACCAGCCGCCGTGATAGTTGCTGGCGCAGTGAGACTTGCTGGCGTCCATGTCGCGGTCCTTGGCGCTAAAAGCCATTCCGTTTTGATAGGACAACGCGTCCGTGGCGTTTCCAGCGTATCCGTCCACGCGTAGCCTGTACCCGGTAGCCGCCGAGTCGATCTCGAACGATTCGTACTCGGCGCGCCAACGTTCCCCGTAGATATCCAACATGTCGACGCGCAACCTGGTGCAATTATCTCGAGTGAGCTCGTGGAGAAGCTCGTTGCCGATCCAGTATTCGCCGACGGGGGAACCGAAACCGAGAGAGTAATCTTTCCAAGTGCGATCGAAATCGAGCGCGCCGTCTCGACGTCGCGCCACCACCGTCCAGCCGTCCCGACAGTAAACCAACATCGGCTTCCGGGACCGGCCAGCTTCCAAAAGCCTCAACCCGTCCCTGGCCGGCTGGTCCGTCGATCGATCCTCGCAGTTTTCAGGCAAACTGTTCACGATCAAATGGTACTGGTCATCCAGCTTCTCCAGTTCGAGTTCGAGCTTTAGCGCGTCGGAGGACGAAGACGACGGAAATCGATCGGCGTCTTCCGAGCACGTAACGTTCAGCCGATCGATTGCTTCCTGTTGACCGTCGCTTCTCTCTTGGAGCTTCGAAGCACTCACGCTCAGAGCTTGAACGGCGCGACGCAGATTGCTCAACTCCTCTCTGGTCAACGAGAGCTCTGCCCCTTTCCTAGCCGCGTTCACGCCTAACCGAACCAGTTCCCGCTTCGTTTCCGAGTTGTTTTTCTCGACCGCCTCTCCAAGAACTCGCAACGAGTCGATCAGCTGCAGACCAAACGATTCGCCGATGGTTCTCGCCGATACCGCATCCTCGGTGACGTTCGAAAGTCGTCTGGACAACTCGGCCTGGCTCTTCTCCAAACTTTTCATTCGTTTGTTCAGGATCAACGGCCATTCTTTCTTTTCGTAGGCCAGGCGTTTCTCGAGCAAGACCCGTCGCTGCGCGAGCAGAGAGACCTTGTGCTCCAGGTTCTTCAGACGTTCTTCGGTCCGCATTCGGTGTTCCTCGATTCGTCTCGAGTAGCCGTGCCTCCTGGAGAGCCGACGCCGAAACGACGTCGAGCTGTGTTCCGTATCGAACCTTTTACTATCCTCTTCCGTGGCTGTACTCGAGGACGACGCGACCTCGCCTTCCGAATTCTTCTCTCCTCGATGGACAATCGAATTTCCCGAATCGCCGGACGGCAATTCGCATCCAAGAGACTTCACCTCGACTTGAACCGCGCTCAACTGAAACGGAAACATCGAGGGATATATTTATATCGATATTTCCTAACGCTGTCAAACAATTATCAACGCGAGTGTAACGTAACGCGGTTGTTTGTCATGATGCGCGTCATCGAGACCGATAACCGGTTGTTCGGTTCATTACTCCAAAATTGCGAGAGCAACTCTAGATACGTATCAAATTTCCCTGACGTTGGACCGAGCCGTGGGGAACAGTGGAGTGACCACCTTCGCTCCATTAGATTTTTATCTACGGAGGAAATTAACCCTTTGCACTCGAGGCCTTTTTTCTGGTATCTGCCAAGAGAATAAAGTCATCTTTATCTCCCCGACAATCATTTTATCGATACTTCGAGCTCCAAAGAAATTATACCTAAAGAAACATTAGGTATTATAGATTTGCTGCGTGAAAATTAATGATAACTGGGAGTCACCTCTCGAGCGCAAAGGGTTAAAACACGTTCATCCACCGTAATCTCACAACGGCACGGGATACGATGAATTGCCGCAGCATACGAAACTCAAGTAAACAATAATATTTATTATTTCATTTTGAATCGATGTTTCTCCGAAAGAATTGCAACCTAATTGTTTAAACTAATTAGACGCGGTTAATCCATGATCTGATTACGCATAAAGTGTTTAAAAGGTGGATACCGTTTTTCTCTTTTACTTTCGACCACGATTCTACGAAAATTCGCTTATGCGCAGCGTTCAAAAGAGAGGAGTGAACACGCCAGCTGGCCCATCCAGCTGGTTACGCGCTCGAGCCCGGCAGATGCAGCTGTCACGGTCGCGCCCGATGCTGCCCAGCCTCGAATACCAACCAGCGGCCTTCGATTATTTCCGTTGAACGAACGATAAACAAGTAAGTCGTTTTTCCGAAAGAAAGACACGTTTTGTTCCCTAAAATCGTCCGATTTCATTCGAAACCTTTGATTGTTTCTCTCGTATCTTTTTCATACCTTTCAAGGTGCGCATATCTATAGATTTAGGAGCTAAAAATGAAACGGAACACGCGCATATCCCATCACGACGACGAGTGGAAGGAAACGTCGGTAAAACTCGCGAGGAACGGAATGCGAAGTAGCGACAGAGAGGAAATCGACGGGGGAAGGGCGAGCAAGCACGGCGGTAGAAATTAATACTGGCAGCAGAGCGAATCGCGGAGGGGATGCGAAAAGGCAGCTGCGTAGCGACGCGAAGGGTCCACCGAATCGTTCCACCTCGGAACGGGTCACAGGTGTTTGCGTTTTCTGCCCATATCGTAGAATTTATCGCGCCGTATCGAAAACGACAACCGCCCGCGTCGGGCGTGCACGTTCGAATTACGTTTCTGCCAGTCTCTGCGTCTCTCGGCCTCGTGTCGCGCGACGTTATCGCGAGCTAAGCCGTTCGAAGGGAGCGGAGGAGGGGGAGGGGGGGAAAAAAAAAGAAAAGAGACAAAGAAAACGCGAAATCGAGGCAGATGCGCGTTCCATCGGGCACGAGCAGGTGGACAGAGAGATAAGAATGGCGGGGAAAAAAAGGAAAACGCGACTAGAGGGAAAGTAACGCGGCTTGGTAGGGATCGAAAAGGGACGGCCAAGAGAGCGACGAAAGCAGACGGTACCTGACTGGCGATGTCGGCGCAGGTGCGAGAGAGCTGACCGAACCGTTCTTTCACCGCCACTATGTCCACGCGAATCGTGCCGAGGACCGCCTCGATCTTGGCCATCCTACCGCCGAGATTTCGAACGCCTCTTCCAACGGCGGCGACGTCGCCTTTCAGCAGAGCCAGCTCGCCTCTCATCCTGGACCTCTCCGCGAGCTCCTCGCTGGCGTTTCTCGTTCTGAGGACCTCCGCCACTTCCCCTTGCAGCTCGGTCACGGCGCTTCCTAGCCACCGTACTCGCAGCCGCTCGTTCTTCGCCTCGTTTCCGTTCCCGCCGCGAAAAGCGTTCACTTCTTTCCTGATGGTAAAAGGCACTCGTTAACGCGCGAAAAACGATAATTAAAGTACTTGTATAAAGGTGAACTGGAAAGTAATGTCGTTTTTCCAATTTTAAATACCTGTTTATCATTCATCAGCTCGTTGATCTTTATCTGGTATCGAAAATTTGCACTCTAGATGACGAAAGATAAGGAGGCCGGTTACACGATTGATCAGGAATAGAAATTCGTTATAAATTTCTTTGAATTTAATATGGAAGAGAGATGTTACTTTTCAGTGTACCCCCTTCGGTCCAATATAAAGACCAAAATATAAAGGTACGACCCTTGAGGAAGGGCAACTTGCTACCATCGAAGGCCCTTCGTGATTCTTTCTTTCACAAAGTAACGCGTTACATAGAATCTGGCGAATATACTCTTATTCGAAACAATTACCTGAGTTGTTTCACTTCGTTCTTCAGGACAAACAACTCGGTGTTCTTCTCCATGGCGCGCTTCAAGCTTCCTTCGAGGGCATTGTAATCCTGCTGCCGATGGTCCAGAAGAGCGTTCACTTGCTCCCGCAGAGATCGGATCTCGTCGGCGATGTTCTCGTCGGCGCGAGTTTTACTCTGCACGACAACGACAACTAACAGCGCCCGAAACAACCACCTTTTACCGGTCATCTTTCGACCGGAATCCAGCTAAACGGGATAACCACCGTCGAACGATCTACTAAATAATAGAAAACTACCGTTCGCTTCTAAATTATTTACGAATTATTCACGTATTATTTACGAATTTTGTACGCTTCTCGTCCAGCTCGCGCCGTTCCTGTTCGAAATCGAGCGCACGCGGTGTTCCACCACCGAAAGCTCACTGGCCCGATCGAATGCCGCCCCACCAGTTTTATAACCTCCTCTCACACTTTCCGTAAATGGTCGGGGGGCAAAATGGGCCCAACCCAAGGCGCAGGTGCGTTCGGCAACGGCCTGGAACCACTACTACCGCGTTGCCTCTGCATTGTCTCGTGCCTGCAAGCTGCGCCCCCGATACCGATACTCGTACCGCACGTGTTCCATTCCCCCTTCGTCGATCCTTCGCGGCTATTCTTTTTTTTTTTTCTCCATCTCCACCGCGAAATTCCTCTCATTACGCCTTCACGCTTCTTTCACGCAGGTTGCACAATTTTCAAATGATTCTTTGATACACTGATCACGAACCATTTCCGTTATCCAATTGTTGGGATTCTAGTAGCAATTTGTAAATACCAGTAATTCGTATTTAGGCTGCTCTTTATTTGGATGCACCAAAAATTATGAACTTTTTCTTGCACCATTCAGTAGTTTTTGATGTAATTACCTAATTAACCACTAATTGACCAATGGCGTCGTATTAACTAGCTAAATACGTCAAAAATTTTCAACTTTGGATTCCTAATATTTTTAACTTACATTTTTGTAATCTGGGCATCAAAAACTACTAAACGGTACAAAAGAAAGTTCATAATTTTGTGGTGCCCCAAAGTAAAGTTTAACCTGCGATAGTAAGTTGTACCAATAATTTATATTTATAAAGGGCCATTGTTTAAAAAGCGTTTTACGATACCAAGGGCGCCTCTTGTTTGAATTAGTTACGTTGAGATTCTTTTACAGGAATTAATGAAATCACACCGACCTTAGGTCCCGGTTTCTGTTGGACACCATTGAAAGAATATAACGAAACGGGGCTCGCGATCGTCGACAGCTCGAGATCTTAATTATGCGTCGATAACACTAGAAATTGCTTGCTTAGGAGATACTTTTTACGGGAACGGGGAAGTATACGCATAAACGAGTCCCACTGCGTAAGGTCAATAATTTATTGAAAACAACTTGTTCCCTGACGAGACCTAGAGTTATATATATATATATATATTTTTTTTTTTTTTTTTAAGGAAGTACGCGCGTGGTTCTATTTTTTTGAGTACGACACGATCATAATGTATGGATCGTAGTTATCGGTGTCGCGAGCGCGGCACGGTACAAAGAGACGTTCGTCGACGCTCGAACGTGTTGTCACCTAAAATGATTATTACGTTAAGAAATTCCCTGTCGACAAATAAATTTGGAAGAAAGTTGCATGCATAGTCAACTAATTTTAATCTAACCCCTCTTATCCGTCGCTACGTTTACTCCTTCGTCGAAAATAAGAAACAACATCACACGGTTTCCTGTCTATCGCGTAAACGACACACTTTTGCGAACGCAAGATCGACGACGAAAAACTGCATGTAAAAACTGCAACGACTCCGGCAATCTGTGTATTCTACTTGGTAGAACACGGGCGATCGTCGCGGCAACCACCCTCTACGAAGTAGACGGGTCGACGCAACCGTTGGCACAACGTGTTTCGATAAAATTTCAACCGGTTTTTCGTTTCTTATCGAGTAAAATCTTATGTACAGAAATAATAAAAATACATTTGTTCGAATCCAACGGCCTTCTATATAGTTTTCTCTAAACTCGTGCTAACGCGCGATACGTTATATATTAAATGGCACTCTCTTTCTTTTCCCCGGCTCAACGAATCGAGTCTCGAAAATTCCGTAAAAATTCCACGCGTGCGCGCCGACGATAAGCAACGCGAAAGTATCGCGTTACCGTTCGTAAGGGTCGCTACTGGCCTTACTTGAGTGTCTTCCTCGAACGCATGCACGGTATCGACGCGTTGATCCGCCGCGTGTGTCCAATTGGACGTGCACTTACGTGGGTTCAAGAAGGGGATAAAAATTCCTTACGGCGATTAACGCGTTAAATAAGATCGTACGTCGGAGAGACGACGCTAGAACGGAACCCAACGTTTTTGACTTAAGTTTGCGCCGATCCGTAAGTTCCTGTCGGTGGACGATACAGCTTTGGAAGAGTCAATATTTGCAAGCTGTTGAACGCGTACTTTCGGATACCGATGTTCTTCCAGGTGTTCTCTCGTCGGCAGCCCTCGCTGAAATAAAAAAACAAGTTACTCGAGCGAACCGTTTCAAATGCCTCGGGCTGTATTTGAAATTACTCGAGGAAGAAAATTAACCTTCGCATGCAGTCGAGAGCTCTCGGGTATTCGTGCTCGGCCAGATGGTACTCGCTCGTCAGTATGTTTACTTGCTCGAGAGTAATCGACATGCCTGTGCGATCCTTGGCGCTCTTGCAACTGGTGAACCTCAAGCCGCGCATCCTTCGACAGATTTGCGAGGACAGCTGCAAGATTTCGACGTTCTTGTTCACTCTAGCCTGAACGCTCGTCTTCAGATTGGTCATCAGGTCCGCCAACGTTTGACCGAGCGCCGATCTCGAGCCGACTATGGTGCACAAACACAACGCAACACCGGTTTATAACAAACGCAGACGTACGTGCGGATATCGCGCGACGCGAATCGAGGAACGAAAGCTTACGTCGAGTCGACGATGTTTCCGTCGGTAAGCTGAGCTTCTTGAATCGCAGATAGTATTCGTTCAATCTGTCGAAATTGTCCATGTTGCTCTTTTCCTGGGGTTTCGTTGTTCCCAGGCTCTCCGCCAGGGAGGCCATTTCGTTGATACCGACGTTGAAGAAGACAGGAGTAACATTAAAGGAGATGGTTTGTCTGGAAGAGGGAACCAACGGTAGCAGAGAATAAATCGCATCCGGCACTGGAAGCATCACCGTCAACGCGGCACGGGATCCAAGCACTCTTGGCAACGGCATCTGAAGCAGCGGGACGTTGGAGTTTCCTTCGAGCCTGAACAGCAACCAATCGGAGTAAGTTGGACGACAAGTGTAATCGTAATTGACGAATGCGATTAAGAAAATTATAATCTGTAATTGATAGGCTGCGGATCTTTATGCGTTTATAGGAAATTCGAACGCGCAAGAAACTACAAAATTTGAAAGTAAAGTTCATGTTATAATATTTGCGGAATAAAATAAATTCCTATTTAGGTTCAATTTTTGTAGACACGTTCGCGAAGATTTTATTAACCGACTTCGAAAAGGAGGAGGTTACTCAATTCGACATGTATATTTTTTTTTTTTTTTTGCATAAAGATTCGCAGTCTAGTAATTAATGTCTCGGTCTACCTCGATTGAATTCCGCATCTGGTCAAGGTAAACGTTACGGTGTGCATATCTTCCACTGCCACGGCCATGTCTCCCCACATGTCTATCTCGTCTCCGTAATAACTAAGAAGCCCTTCGAACGAGACCAGAGGACCTAGGGTGGTTAAAATTAAAAGAAACATGGGATCGGGCCTTTGACACCAAAGCTTCGCCATTATGCCTGATACCAAGCTGGTCAACTGAAAGCATAATAAAAATATAAGTAAATATTTATATATCCTATACGAATCGAACTCTCGAAACTTACCGCTTGGCTGAAGCACACGTCTCGTCTGTACCGAACGTTGCAAGCACGTTGAGCCATTTTCGCGTCCTCTTGCACTCTGAATACCGAATGGGTCAATCTAGCGGTTTTCAGAAGTCCGTCCATAGCTTGCCGAAGCTTCTTCATGCTTGGCCTGAGCTCGCTCGTCCAGTCGACGATCGACGCGAAATCTAGTCCCTCCGTGAACTTGTTTCTCTGTCCCGAGTTGCTTTTTATTACTCTCGTCATCGAGTCGACTGCCTGGCACACTTGAAGTAAACGAAAAGAAGACAGCGAATAAAGTTAGCTCGATAAACGACGGGTATCGTAACGAACGCGTCGTCGCATCTTACCTTCTTTGGCTTTCGAGAAGGCTGGCATCGTTTTCTCCGAGCTCGGGCTCGGCTGTTGTCGCGAGACGATACGATTTTCCACGCTCTCGAGAAGCTTGCTCGACTCGTCGTTTTTCGCGTCGTTTTTCGGCTGGATGGTCACGACTTCCGTACTTTTGTTACGATTGTTCGGAACGCATCCTTTCAGGCTGTGTGACCTCCCAACGGAGTTTTTGCTACGTAAACGCACCGCCGGGCTGCTGCACCTTCCGCAGAGAAACTTGACTTTCGATACCAAACACATCACGCTCGCCTCGATGTTCAACTGCGTCAGATCCCAAGGTTCTGGTTCGTCCGTGGGCTTGTAATAATTCGCCGACGGCGAGTTGCACATTTTTTGAGTATCCAAGAACCGCTTGCACGAATCAATCTCGCCTTTGATTCCCTCCCTCTCTTCGTTGTCCTCGAGTTCGTTGACGACAATGTTATCGTTCGCATTGTCGTTATCGTCGTTGTCATTATCGTTGTCATTGTCATCGGCAGCGGTTCGACTTTGACCGACACCGGGAACAGAGTGATTCGTTTCCGTGCACATTCCGATTTCCGTTTCCTTGCTGGTGTCGTTCTCGACTCCCGGGAAAAGTACGAAGTTTTCCTCGGCCGCCGCATCTTCGTTACCAATAGTACTAATATGCTTCGCTCGTTCGCGGTCGCGTTCCCGATCGTTTTTCAGAGGAAACGTCGCGTAACTGTTCTTCTCGTTTTCCTTCATCCATATATCCTTCACGCACTCCGGAGTATCGGGCGTGACGAAATCGTCGAAATCCGGGCTCTTCAGATCGAAATTCAGTTGTTGAGTGATCCGTTTGAAAGGGGACAAGGACTGATTCGCTTTGAAATCTAGGTTGAGGGTGTCTTCGTTCGCGTCATCGGGAACCTTGGCTACCTTGTATTCTTCGAGAAACGTTAACGCTTCCTCGACCAAACCGGGATCCCAGAGACTAAGAAGAATCCTGGTTTTCGTGATCATGTCCTCGCAGATCGGCAACATTCCGCTGGTTTGTTTCTCTTTCGCGAGCTTCATCAAAGCACGCATCGCGTCGACGACGTCCCGCCGGAGTTGCTTGATCGCTTGAATCGCGTCGTGCGCCATCGTTATCTTCGACGTTCCTTGATACAACTGGGTACCTCGGGTCGGTGATTCCTTCAAAGCTTGCACCAATCTGAAACATCGTCTCGTACTACTACTACTACTAAATAATACACCGATAATTACCTAATAAGACCACCGTTTTTGCTTTTGTGCGAATGCGCGGTAAACGCCCCAACGGTTATAAAGTCGTAGAATCCGCATTTGTTCAGGGTGTCGTTATGGACCCACATTCTCTGGAGGTGCAAGTTCAGTGGCGCGAACTCCAGAGTTCTATCGTTTTTGCGCGACGACTTTTTGAAATAACTCCCTGAAAAAGAATATAAGATAGAGGTACGGAAGGCAGCGAAGGAGGAACGAAACATCGGTCTTTACCTTTAAAGGCAGCCAAATTCTCTTTAGCCTGCGAATAGAGGTGCAAGAGATGCAGGTGACGATCGAGCAATTCGATTTGCTTGGTGTGCCAAGGTTCTCGTAGTTCGCCCATACCGGCCACCTCTTGCAGCAATTCCTTCTCTTCGTGAATCCAAATTGCCCTGAAGAGATTTTTCGAGGCATTAGTTCAAATTTGCGATCGCAGCGATTTATACGTTTATTATACGGCGACATCACTCACAGTAAGTGTTGCGGAAATTGAAAACAAAGTTTACTTTCGGCCATGATCTCGTGGACGCAGATATCCCCGCCCAACCCGGAGTGAAACCTGAAACGGTGACATTGCAGAGACTGCGTCAAGGCGACACGGAACGTTTTCGCATTAGTCGCAGAAATATACCTATAAGTTTGCATGTATGGATTGGCGAAAAGAAGCTTGAGTTGTCCTTGATGCGGCAATTTGATTTTTGTTCCCAGCCGAGGTGGCAATGATTGCGAACGCCTGTGCGAGAGTATCTGTCGAGAAAGAGCAAGCGGGTGAGCATGCGAGAGAGAAAGTCCCAAACTAGGATGCATCCTTGATGAAAGCAGTATCGACTATAACCTATCGATGTAGCGAATTCTCACCTGTTGATTCGGACCTGAAATAGGTTCCTTCGACGGAGTGCTCTCCGTGCTGTTCCCTTTGTCCTCCGCCTCTAGATTCCATACGTTGATCGTTAAAAAGCCCACGGTCGTCGTTTTCGCCGACTTCAACGGTATCCTTAACCTAAAATCGTTCGATCGCTAGTCAAAAACGCGATAGCTCGGCGAACGTCGAGACATAGATCGGAGGAGACAATTTCGAAACGAGAGTCGCTAGAATTACCTGGGAGTATCTTGAACCGCGCTCAAAGTCACGATCACGCTTCCTATCGGCGTCGCTGTTTGACTCACGCGTTCCCTAACATCGTACGCCGTTATCCTCGCTTTCGTTCCCGTGGTCAGCCCGTCGCTGGCTCTGAAGCTCACGGTCGTTAGGAAACCGGGATTGCTGCTTCGCTGTGAAAACGGATGAGCCATTTAATAATCTTTTAAATCTATTACAACTATCGGGTGGTAGTGAAAAGTGTAGATGAAAGTGTACGAGCTCACCTCCACTACTTCCGTTTTCGCGTACTTGATCCACGTCTTGGAACCTTTCGTCTGAACGTCCACCTCCAGAACTGGATTAGGCGGCCGACCGTGGCCGTCGCAAAGGAGGTTGTCGCACGCCAACGACATCTCGCACATCGGTATCTCGGCGGGATCTGAAACGTGTATACATCAAAATCTCTTTCGCCGTGCTCGATACAGTTCTCATGTACATTAAAATAAACAAGTCCGAAGGGAAGAGCGCACGGCTGACTCGTAAACAATGCCATCTGATCCAACATGAAGTTAATTACGTCAGTGATGCCAGCCGGGCCTTAAAACTTATCAAATCTTGTAGTTTTTGATCCGAAAAGTCCGAAAATGCAAATTAAAAGTTTAGAAAACCAATAGTTTAGAAGATACGAGTACATAAAGAAGCGTTTTCAGTGACTTTTCAGGTCAAAAACTACGAGATTTGATAAGTTTTAACCATAACAAAATGGGCCCCTGAGCCAAAGTTCAGTCAGATAAGTGAACATATAAATAATAAAGACAATCTATTCATGATTTCGCGCTCATAACCACAACGATGACCATAGTTCATTCATAGACCACCCTATTACGAGATACGAATGAGTATACTCGCATACAGTTATCGTAACTATAATTCCATTCAAATTTATCCCATATCTGGCTTCGAGCGAACAAAATCGCCAACCTGCCGAAATCCCACGTTGCAGCCGCAACATTTGTATGTCCGTGTCCTGTTTGTGCCCGCTGAACGCCTCTATTCGTTGCCGCAACGCCAGCAACTGACTCCGCATGCACTCGTAGCTGGCCAATTGAAGAGCTTGCAGCCAACTGTCTCTCTCTTCGGCCGAATTCGCCCCCAACGCTTGAAACAAACCTCCGTCGAAAACTAAAACACAAAGCAGAAGACTCTATTACTCTTCTCTCTATTCCGTTTAGTTGCCGTGAGAAAAATGGGAGAAAGAAGCTTACCTATGCTGAATCCATAGGGAATATGATTGCTCGGTTGCTCCACCCGTACGAAGCATTGCTCGAGTATTATTACTCCCAGTGGTTCCGACCACTGCTCCCGCGACTTGAAATAAAACAGCAGGTTCCCCCGTAATCTGCACCATCTCTCCAAACTTACTGTCCAACAAAAGAGGCAACGTTCGTTTGTTACTTTCTCGGTGATACATGCGCAAGAAATATGTGAAAAGTTCTCGTATCGAAAATATCGATAAGAGGAACTCAATGGCGCACCCAAGAGATTATATTGTACTCGGTCAGTGCAAGAAGTACTCGTACAGCGACAAATTTAAAATAAAATTAACAAGAAAAGAAAATAAGAGGTTAACATTAAAAGTAATAGGAATGTTAATAAAATAATAAATAAAATAAATATATGCAGTTTTATTTCGAATTGGTTCCTGCACGAATACTTGTTACTAGACCGGGGATTTTTATGCATTTATAGAAAATAACGACAAATTATAGAACGGACGTAGTAGCCAACAATATAAAAAATATCGAAAGTAAAATTCATATTACGATAGTTGAAGAGTAAAATAAATTCTTATTTAGATTATGTTCTCGTACGTACGTATACAAGGATTTTATTTTTCATAAAGGTCCGCGGTGTAATTATTACACTGACTGTATACGAATAACGTTTCTCTAAGTTTTGTAAAATATCGGAAATTATTCCGTTTGTCTCCGTTAATTTTTAGTTCTCGCTAAATCGTTGAGTGCGTCACTGACCCATCTCCTCGACGGTAAAAGAAAAAAAAAAAAAGAAACAAAATACGCGAGGGAGAACGCCAGATGTGAGTGCATCCGATTCCTGGTCGTTCGAGTATACACTCGTTTATGCATGCATGAGTTGTGTGGGAATGTAACCGTTACAAGGGGAGAATCAAAGGGAAAAGGAAGCATTAGAAAGGTCTCGACGAAACGGAGACCTCTTGACCTTTCTCCAAACCGTCAGGGTCAAGCGGCGCGTTTGCGTCGCTACGAGAGTATCAAAATTATCATCCGTGGCTCGAAAGGAAATCGGTCAGGTGCGCGCCACAGATAAGGAAACTATTATCTATAAGGCAGTTTCTACGAGAGCTTGCGACAGGGCCGACGATAAACGAACACCATGCAATTACATAAAGTTGTTTAACAAGCGTGCGTAAAATTCGAATCACGGTGATCGAAAACATGCCAGACACCGTCGCGTACATCTACTCGTGCAAAACATGCTCTTCCGTTATTCCGCGTATCTCTTTCCCCGAATTGTTTTTCTCGTATCGAGAATACTTGAAAGCGCGAAGCGATTCGCCGATCCAACGTTGCTTGCGACCCCGATGCATTATAGTTTGCGGCGTTGGTAAGCGTGTTAATCGCGATGGATCGAGTTAAGATAGGTGAGGGGCGAGGGGGAACGATCTTGGGCGGAGGGGGGAAAAAAAAGAAACAAAAAAACTCGAATGTACCTTTACTCGTACTGGCTGTAACGCAACTGAAGTCTCGCAGTGTCTTATGCGTTTTTCCCTTTTGAAATTTGTTGTCAGATTGTTTACCTGTACCTGCAAATTACACGTAGCTACGGGTAGCTTTTAATTTGCCCGAAATTGTGAATGCGGTCGGACGTTGTAAATAAGCTCGCAAGCCCGCGATCCGTGTAACAGCTGCGCATTTCTTTTAGTCCATTTAGTCCATTTAGTTGCATGCCCTGCTATTTCACAATTAATAAAACGGATTAAATTCTATGGGCCAAACAGGAATCCGAGATTTGTCCTCTTTATCGAAAGGGAACGGTTGAATCTAGAGACGCGATAGCGTTTCGACGCCAAATTCGCGAAGAATTATAAAGCCACCCCGTATATAACGTGGCGCTATCGCGTATCTTTTACTCGTAAAACAGCGACTCCAACCTAACCTGAAACTTTTTTTCGTGAATATCTCATCACGGCTGCAATATTTTCGAAATTTAAAGCCATCTTTCGGCCGCACTTTACCTCGCCGGACCTAAAATTTTTAATTTTCTTTTAAACAATCCTGTAGATTTTGTCGAGCAAAATCTGGAAATGCTAGTTTTAAGACGATGAATTTACTAATTCAGAAGTTATGAGCAGTCAAAAGTGGCATTTTACCGTATTTGACTGACACTTTCGACGCCATATTGTCTTGAAGCCATACCCTGTCGGTAAAACAGATTCTCGGTGGTGCCGGACTACATTACGCACTACTTTAATATCATTATACCTATTTTTGAAAAATGCCATTTTTGGAATTAACAGAGTTGGTTTGAGCCTATATTTTCGGGATTTTTTCTAAAATACGAAATTCAACTTTTAAATTGTCTAACAAATACGGTAAAAAGCTTCACCTTTAACTGCTCATAACTTCTGAACCAGTGGATTTCAAAGTAAAGTTTAACCAACGAAGTTATATCGGGGAACGAAGGAATCCCAAAATTGTCAGTCCGCCTTTACCCCGTTTCTTTTGTTCGACTCGGATCAAATATTCGTTCTCATGGAACGACGCGAAGCCTCGTTAGGGCCGCTCGTAGCCGGAAGAATGCAACCCACGTTATTTCGTTATCTGGTATTCGGCAAGAAAAGGGAATCGGTCGCAAACGATGTCCACATCGCGAACTCCGCAGCGAGTCCGACTCGGTGAGCCTCGGTCGATCGTCGCAGATTCGAAGGCATGCTCGAGATGCGTCGACATATTTCGAAAACAAAAATAGAAACACAATCGACGGTTCTACAAAGTCGAAGATACGAGCTACGATAAGTCTAGGCCTTCGACAAACGTCGTATACTGTATAGAGTGTATCTACGATTATAAGACATCCCAACATTCACGGGTCTACCGAGTAGACTCTACTCGAGGTTTGATAAATCTGCTTCACCGTAGAATCGGAATAGTAACAACAACGATAGTAGAGTGTATCAAAACAAACTAACAACCTCGAGCAAGGATTAGAATATTCTATTCGGGATGTTTCGTAGCTTCGACACCCTATACATCGTAGGTTTGCACGAGGTCGACAAATTCTTCGTAAATAATGAGAAAATCATTTCTACGCGTTTCACCTTTAAAAGGACAGAGACGTCGACGCTCGTCGGTTCGTCGATACTCGCGAATATTTGTATCGTCGAACGCGAATTCGTTGACGGCCAAAAATTCGCGTATAAAAGAACGTATCGGTTGACGATAAAGATGCGGGCGGGCTCGTGAGAATCGCGAACGTAGACGAGCGTCGGGGTAACGAATGCCGCGGCTTCGTAGCAAATGATGGGCTCTACATTAAACAGAAAACGAAGAATTTGCGTGTCACGTGAGTTTATTTTTCAAGGATTCAAACATGTACAACGTAGATAAAGGAGAAGAAACATGCGTTTGCCTGTGTGGCGATATACATGTAGGTAGAATTATTCATTCGATCGAAATAGGCGACCAGCCGCGCTAGTATCGCTCGTATTTGCCAAGGATTAGGTCACTCACTCTCAGTTCTGCGAAAGAAGCCTTCTTGTCGCTCGCGTACGTACAATATACCCTCCTTCTCGAATTTCTGCGAAGGTTGCGTGGCCAAAGTCAGCAATTCCTGCTTGTTGAATCGCATCTCGAAAGACGGCCGCTGGTTACACCCACGTTACTCGTGACAATCCACGTTACGTAGCTTTCTTTGTCTTCATCTGTCAAGAAGTAGACGATTAGCGACACGTGGGCCGTATACGTTTACGCGCTACATGATATTCGCCGAGCAACAAACAAACGAGCACAGGACGAAACGTATTAGTCTCCGGTTACGCGAAACGCGCCTGTCACATCGAATCTATGAGATCTCTAACCTATTCCTTCCTACGCGTCTTGCGCTTTGCGATTCTCTCCTCCGCCTTCTCGCTCTCCCTCTCTCTCTCTCTCTCTCGGTCCCTCTCGCGACGACCTCTCGTTTATCCTCTTCTCGCTCGATCACTTTTTTACCGATACCTCTCGTAACTTTTTCCCTTCTCGTTATCTCGCGCGGGGAATCGACGAATGCCAGCGACTGTCAACGAACGCGAAACTCTATCTAACTCTATCGTTGAAAACGAGCGACAAGGGTGGAGAAATTATTGCACGGGAACGCGATATCGTGGATGAATCTGGTGCACTGCTCCGCAACGAACCTTCGTGGTCAAAGTATGGTTCGGTGTCCTTTCGAAAATTACTTTCGAGGCCCTTCTCCTCTCGGTAATTCGTTCCGACGAACACATTTCGCGTCTTGATTCAGATCGTTACCGAAACAACTTGAAACAACTATCGTTAACCCGAAACAACTTTAAAGCGGCGCGTTGCAACGACTCGTTGTCGCATAGACGTTAAACGGGAGTACATGTTCACTGGCGAACACGCATCCACGAAAGTATAGAAACGCGATAGTTATCGCGCTAAAATAATCGAAACAACGGTCTGTACAAGCTAAACGAACGTGTGTCGCGTTTTACATGGTTTTATATCGCGCAACAAAGGATACCGATAACTTGAATGGTAAAGCGAGGAATCACGGACATTACTGTCACGCCGGATCGTTCGGCGTCGGTTTTTTTCGAGCATTTCCGAATGTCTCCGAACAACTTCGAGCGCTGCTGACCATTTCTGCTGATTTCTGCGCAATGTCGGTAACGTCGATAAGTATCGGCGCATCTAGGTTAGGTTGGATTTTACCAACGGATAGATCGAGAATGCCGTGAACATTTGTCGTTATTTATGTTGACGAATGTTTTCCATTCCAATCCATTTAGTTCAAGCTCATTTTCAAGCTGCTTCTTTGTCGATGTTACGAATACCATCGAGAAGCCTGCTGACCACTGCTGATCGGCTATACTGAGCATTCATATGATTGATATTAGGTGTGCGCACCTATATAACGAAAGACCAAGAGGTTCATACCAGTTCAAACTGTGTATCGAATCAAAGGATCGTGAACATGGAGTCGTTTCTCTCCGCATCGAGAGTCGCTTTGGTAAATTTGATTTTGGTTCTTTTTCTAATCCATGAAGAGTCGCGTATTAGTTGGAAATTTTTTTTACGGTGTTCAAGTTTGTTTATCGAACATACGTACATAGGTTATTGGTGTAAAAATTAATACATTTATTTGCCGTTATCAACTCACTTTAACTCATCAAACATTTTATGTTTTATTTCGTAATTATACAAAATTCTGTAAACCCGTTTAATCGGACATCTCCTTTCTCTTCTTCTTGTTTTTATAGTGTTTTATTTTATTTTCCAAGCTTTCACAAGTTACCCGTTTCATCAAGGGTTGATATATTTTAGATTGTACACCAATGAGTAAAGCATCATTTTGAAACGACAGATCTTTGTGGTCCATTGAATTTTCCAAATCCGACAGCATATTCTCGATCATAACAGACTTTATTGTATTGAAAGTCCAATCATTTTGTAAAACTTTTAACGTGTTTATTAATTCTTCTTTGTCTATGTACCACTCTTTGGTTTCGTACTCACAATACCAAAGATTTAATGGCAATTCATGAGCCAAATTATATTGAGGTTTCCGTGGACAGTTTGCAATGTCTAAGAGTTCTAACATAACTTGAGGTTCTTCTTTTCCTTGACCAATGAGTAATAAAAGACCCATTAAACAACGAATCTGATGCCACAAAAAAGCTTGACTTGTTATGATTAATTCGCATATATCATAGCCTGGAACATTTCTAATGTTTTTTCTAGAAAGAGATACTTTTGCATCAATAACTCTTCTCTTGTAATTAATAACACCATTTGCTACATCCATTTTACAAATATTTCTAAAGTCGTGCTCTCCTATAATATATTTAACTGCTTTATCCATAGTATCTATATTTAACTTTCCTCTTGGAAAAAAGTACTTGTAGGTTCGAAATTTACAATTAAATCGGGCAGAGAAATTACTGGACACTGGACACCAAGCGATGCACCTTATGTTTGAAGGGAGTAATCTATTCAATATCTTGCAATATGGAAGTTCAGCCTCTAATTTATGTTGATCTTCGGGTTTCAAGTTGCTCCTTATGTCCAAAGAGATCACTTGTGAAAAGGAACTCACTCCTTTATCGGTTCTGCCACAGCGATGATAATTCGAAGTTTCGCGTGATTCTATGCAACAACTTTTTGTCAGTGCTGCAAATAAATGCTGCTCTATCGTATCGTTAGTACTCTCTTGTACGACGAAACCATTGTAATCCCATCCAAGATAATAGAATTTCAAAAGGATATGCCTTTTATTGCATTTCAAAAAATTAAACGGTTTCTGTGACTTATAAACGGTACTAATATTTTTTGGATTTTCATTTACTCTATTGAGCATTGCTTTCAATTGTTTATTATTTTCTTCCAACAGTAGTATCTTTTTTATTAATTCAGATTTATCGAGTAATTCGAGTTCTTCCTTCTGCAAGGTTATTTTTTGCTTCTTTTCTTTACGAGTATCCGACATATTTCTATACTTCCTATATTAATCTTTATTTTCTTAATTGGTAAATTATAAGTGATCACGTGATTACCGTTATTGTCATTATATTAAATAATTTCTTACGAAAACATTAAACGACTGGACCATACGGGAGTTTACCGATGCACGTAGTTGGTCGGAAATATAAAGTATCGCCATCTCGCGTATACCAGGAGAAACTAGTAGCGGTCGGTAATTCATAAAAACGTCGATATTCCACCCTTTGAATAATTGCACGATTTCTATAATAGTATTTCTAACGATAAAAAAAAGCGAGCCACAACGTACGATGTTTATTATTATTTTAGGTGGACAACTTCGTCAAGTACAAAAGAATTCGCATCGTTTTGGGTAACGAAACGTGCGATTTAGATTCCGCCGTGTGTACTCTGGTCCAGGGATACTCCGAATATCTGGATGCAACGAAAAGTAACGAAAAGGATTTAATAATAATTCCATTGATGAATATACTCGAGGACGAATATCGCACGAAAACGGAAGTTGTGTATTTTCTGGAACGCTTCGACATATTCTCGAGCGGCCTAATATTTCGGTGAGTCCAATATAGAGGGAAATAATCTATATTGATTATGACGGCGTAAGCTACGAAAATATAAAATTCTCCTCGTTTATAGGAATCAGATAGATCTGAAAGCCTTGAAGGAGGATGCTGGAAAACATCTGGAACTTATACTCGTCGATCACCATAACCTCTCGGAAGAAGACGTTTTTCTAACGGATTCTGTAATCGAGGTCATCGATCATCGACCTCAAGACGCGCGATGGCCTTGGCCCGGTAGAAAGGTTCGCTTAGAAACCGTCGGCAGCTGCGCAACTCTGGTGGCGCAAAATTTCATCCGCAAGCATCCGGAAATGTTAGACGGCCTGCTCTCGAGGCTTTTACGAGGCAAGGATGTTAAGGTATCGATAAGGGATGTATATTACCCCTTAACAAGTATATTTATCCTGTAAATTCGAACAGGTCCGATTCTGGTCGACACTAGTAATTTCTCGAAGGAGGCAGACCGCGCCACATCCACCGACGTTGAGGTTACGGAAGCTCTCGAGAGGATCGGTTGTCTGGAAATCGATAGATCCGAAGAATTCGACTCGATCCTGAAAGCGAAAGCCGATATAAGCAAACTAACTGCGCAGGATCTTCTGATCAAAGACTTGAAAGTTGCCGCTGGAGTGCCGATAGTCGGAATGCCTATACTAGTCGAAGTAAAGCGGTGGAATAGTTAGATATGTAGATGTAGATACAGGGATCGGCAACTTGGGCCTATCGAAAGGGAACGATTGAATTAAATCACACCGTATAGTAACGGTACATGCGATACATACAAGTTTACATTTATTTCTATTTTTAATCGTAGCCGATCCCTGATCCGATGGATAAATATAACTTATCCTCGCGACGAGTTCGTTGCTACGATAGATTCATTTGTATATATATTTCAGAATTTTCTGAAGCTCCCGAACGCGGATGCGGCTCTTCGAAGTTTCGCCGAATCCAGAAACACCGCGATCGTCGTTCTGCTGGGAATGGAATTGAAACAGCAGAAACTATCGCGAGATGTTGCTATTTTCTCGCTTCCTGGCGATGAAGCGAAAGAAAAGGTAGGCTGTCAGCGAAAGTGTTTTTTTTTCTTTGTTTCGTTTACAATTTCGTTATCGTCGATAGATAGTAGAAGCGCTCGTTTCGTCCACGCAACCGCCTCTCGAGTTGACCTTCACGACGGAAATCCACGGAGAGCGCGACAAGTACAGCTTGTCGCATTACACGCAAGGAAATCTGCGCGCTACGCGGAAGCAAGTACTGCCGATTGTTCGGGACACGATGTTGTCGCATTGTGGGTGCTGAAGAAAACTCGGAGCGGAAGAGGAAGAGCATTACAGTCAAGGAAGGGCGTTCTTACAAAGTTTCAAATTGAAACATGGGAGAAGCAAGGTTAATTTCGAGGTACACTTATGCAGAAACTGGAACAAATATAATATTATTCTGGTATATGCTTATATTAGGTTGTCCCAAAAGTTTCTTTCGTAGTTTGCATTCAATTATTTTGTGTGGCAGTGTTTATATAAATAGACAATCTAATTTCTTAGGTATTGATGTTGTAACAGTAATGGAGCAAAATGAATTGTACAACATTCAATAATGTAACATTAGATAATATTTTGTAAATATTGTGTATGTATTACTTATTAATAAAATGAAAGAAACTTTTGGGACAACCTAATAGTATTCTGTATTTTGTCTGTAAATAATACTGGTCCCTGAAACGAAGTCCGGTTCGAGAATGTCGCAGTCGTCGCGGTATCAACGCCGATACCAGCAACATCCATCGTTGGAATAATCGTCGCTGGCGGACGCGTGGGAGGGTGACCTTCCCCTACAGCTGCTGCCTCCGCCACCCCCATCGCCGCCCGCTCCCGCCCCCTTCCCCCACTCTTTTCCACCGTATTCGTATCTTCGAACCGGCTCACCACGGGGCAATATCGTGGATGCTGGCTGAACCCTCGTACCGCAGCGGAGCTCACGGCGAGCCATATCTCGGGCGACGAGCCGAACGGAACGCGACCGAACGCTCGAAAACGGGGTTGGTTACCTCCGACGCGAAAAAGTAGAGGTGTGCAGTGCCATCGGCGACGATACCGCTCTTCTCGAATTCGCGTTTCGTTGCTAACTTGGCGAAAAAGCGCGCGGTCGATGAAGAAAGACGAGCGTCGAAATTGGAACGATTCGGTGCGCCTTAATCCGATCGCTTTAAACCATGGTGAAATTTCCGCGATTTCCGAGACACTCCGTTTCCGCGAGACGCGTCGAAAATTGGAGATGCCGAGCTTGAAAGGTAAGGATCGTTCCGATTTAATTAGACGTTCCGATTTAATTAGACGTCGCTCTCGAAATTTCAACGCGCGAACGCACCGTCGTCGATTACGAGTTACGCGTTACGTACGTGGCTTTAGCGACGAAAATTCGAGAGTACGTGGACATCCACCATGGGTGTGGATGAAACTGACCGCGGAAGTCAGCGACGGGCTGCGTTCTCATTTATATACGAATCTCGAATAGCCAATCGGGGATAAACAAGCTGTTACTCGATAAAGACAAAGTTAAATTTGAGTCGCGAGTATGTTGCGTCGTATTTCGGTGAATGATTGTACCGAAAATGTATTGTCGTCACGGGAACGTTTATTATAGAAACAGTTCTTCTCGTTCCCATCTTCTTATTCTCTTCGTATCTATTTCTCGAAATTCCTTTGTATCTAGTTCTTGAGATTTCTCTCAAACCTTGAAAACCCTGAACAAAGGGTGTCGTTGATCGTCGCAGATCGGTCGGTAGCAGCGTTAACGCCTATTTGCACGGGCTGAATGGTCTTTTTGCGTTTACAAGAATGAAAATGTGTACGGGCGTATTTACGTGCGCGTGCGATGAAAGAACGACACCGTAGCCTCGGGCATCGGACGATTCGAAGGGACGTTTCAAGGGAAGAAAGTTTGGTCGTTGTCCGACCATAAAACCCGCTACGACCGTCTCGATCGGTTTCATACGGCGAACGTAATTACAGGATAGCTATCGCGAGCTGGCCAGGGATATACATATGTACCACGAGACAGGCATGGTCGGTCTCTTCCTTCCTACGGTTCGCTCGTATTGATCGTGCTTTACTTGTTGCACGCATAGCAGACCCCGACCCCGTGCGCATTCCCTAACCCTCTTTGTCTTCATTTTCCATCAGGGAATCTAATTAACGTCCGTCCGAATTGTGCGAACGCGATACCCACGCTCTAGTAGAACCTTTTCAACCGTCGATCGATTATTCGAAGATCTAGTAGCCATTCTTCTATCGACTGAAACGAATACCGAATTGTCAATTCCTTTCGCTTTATATCCGGCCGAGTCGAAATTTTCTTCGAGCAAAAAATCGCGAGAAAATCGATCGTGCTTCGCGATTAGTAGATATCGGTTGAAATCGATCCATTATCATTGATCCGATAACGAGAAAAAGGGAAACGTTAGGCCCCTATTTCGCAATGTGCTGTAAAGCAACAAAGGTATTTTTATCCATAAAGTGCGAGTCGAGTTCATCGATCGAATAGATTATGCAGTTTCAGAGAACCAAACGATGATACCGAGCCACTTGAGCTATCATGAGCTGTAAACGAGTCGAAAGAAATGCCAGGATCCGACATCAAGATGCGCCGCACGCTAACGATCGTCTCCTTGGTAGTGCTCTTCGCCGCGGCTTCTTCGCCCATGGAAGATTCGACCAGGAACGTTTTTGGTAAGCGAGACTGCGTTATACATCCTACTAGAAACGAGAAGCGATCGATGGAACGTCGATTGATACGCTTTGTTTCAGGTCAGTGCATACTACCGCTAGGCATGGAGGAAGGAAAGATTCCGGACAATGCGATTTCCGCTTCCTCCAGTTACGAGACTAAGTCGGTGGGCCCTCAAAACGCGAGGTACGTTTCGCTAAAGATAACGACAAGGCAATCCTATCGGAACCTTCGCTCGATTCTCCTAATTCACCTCGAGCGTGTTTACAGAATTCGACAAGAGAAGAACGGCGGCGCCTGGTGCCCGAAAGCGCAGATCAGCAGCGCGATACGGGAGTACCTGGAAGTGGACCTAACGAGGGACCATCTGATCGCGTGGACGGAAACACAGGGACGATTCGGAAACGGCCAAGGTCAGGAGTACGCGGAGGCCTTCTTTCTCGAGTACTGGCGCGACGCGAAGTGGCATCAATACAAGAATTTGAGGGGTGACAGAGTTCGTGTCGTCGGTAAATCGACCGGGAGTCGTCCGCGTTGCTTCGAAGTCGTTGTCGTCGAACGCCCGCTGGAAGCGGGACCGGGCGTCGCGACGATAAGAAACGTCGGACGAGCAGCGTTTCCCAGAAATCCTTCTCGGCTCGATTCGCGACGGCTCGCGCTAATCCTCTCGAAAGCAAAGCGAGACGTCTCCGGTGAACGTTGGTCGGAGAGACGAGATGCTCGATTCCTGGCAACACTGATCGAAGCTCGTTCGTTTCAGGTACTACGCGGAAACAGCAACACCTACTTGGTGGCGAAGCAAAAGCTAGACTTGCCGTTCGTCGCGAGCAGGGTCCGTTTCGTTCCTTACAGTCAACATCCTCGGACGGTTTGCATGCGTGTAGAAATCTACGGATGCGTATGGGAACGTAAGTATACAGCAAAGACTAGACAAGTGCAAGACGGGATTGACGATCGTGACTTGGCTGATCGTTTGTTGTTTGAACAGAGTACGTAGCGAGGTACGCCGCCCCCAAAGGCTCGACACCGGGCCCAGGAGGATGCAACGTGGAGGACTCGTCGTACGACGGCACCGAGCGCGACTCCGAGTCGTTCCTCGTCAACGGTCTGGGCCAGCTAACGGATGGGATTCTGGGGGACGTCGCGGAAATTCTCACCGCCTCGACAATCGGGACGAACTGGGTGGGCTGGACCAATCGCGACGTCGTTCAGCTGATCTTCGAGTTTCAAGAGCTGCGGGAATTCGAGAATTGTTCCCTACACGTTGCTCGTCTACCTGAACTGGAGATCGAGGTTAGTTCACATTCGAGAAATTTCACGTTTAACGATCTAACCAAATAATTGTTCCAGCCGTTTTCAACGTTGCGAATTTGGTTTTCTACCGACGGTGAAAATTACCAGGCCGACTCGGAGATAACGGAGACCCTGTCGATCGACGCCAGTTCGGCCACCAACGACGGTATCCTGACGTCGATCGCGCTACAATCTAAGATCGGGAGATTCGTGAAGTTAGAATTAAGCTTCGGAGGCAAATGGTTGCTCCTCAGCGAAATCACGTTCTACACGGGTAAGGTATCTTGCTGGTGTATCTGCTAAACGATGCGCAAAAGATGAGCAGAGGAGGTAATTGATTATGTTCGAATCCGCAGTCTCGGGTATCAAGACCCGCTCCACCGATTCCTATTCTACGTTCGATGGGTCGTTTCGAGCGGATCGAAATCAAAGCGAGTTAACGCCAAAGCCGCCCGATTCCGAAGGGACGATACCTGGCTTCAACGAGACAGATATTTACGAAACGCACGAGGACGTTTTAACGCCGGATGCTTTTCCTGTCGGCACGTCGCAAACTTACATCGGCCTCGTCAGCGGCCTATTAACGGTGCTCGTTCTCTTCTTAACGTGCACGATTTTTTTAATCAAGCAAAGAGGCCGCAATAAGGTGGCGCTGTTGCAAAAGCACACGGCCCTCCTTTGCGACTCGTCCGCGCCTGGGATCGCGATCAGCCCGAAGCACGTTAAGCTCCAGAACTCGATCGTGAACGGGTTGTCGCTGGGTCGCAAACCGATCACCATCGCCACGGTGGTCTCCGCCAGCAACCTCGCAGCTAGCAACTCGCCCGATCAGTCCGATCGAGTGCGAACTAATTCTTGGAACACCGCCAATCTCGATCGTCGTCCTTCCACGCTCTACGAAAAAACCTACAAATTGTTCTCCGAAGAAAATTTCGTTCTCGCGGAGCCGAACGCGTCCGTTTGCGCTACCAATTCGTGCGCCACTGGTAAGTCTCGCGGCTGCTGTTCATTTAATCCTTTATTTATTTTTTACTGTATTAATTAAACGCTTTGAAACGAATGATTCGTTCACGTTTGGTAACAGATAAGAACGCTGCGAAGAATCACGCAGATTTCAAATGCCAGCTAGGGTTCGCGAAAGATAAGTCTACCGAATTCGCCGTGCCAATCACGACGTACTCGTCGAAGAAGATGCATCATTTTCACTCAGGGAAAACACCTCAAAAGGTGCACGAAGCATACTACGCGGCAACGGATATTTTGACGGTAAGACTCCTATCGGTACCGAATGCTAGATCAAAGTAAGTAGGAAGTAGGTGAAACGAATCGCGGCAAGTAAAAGGTGAATCCGTGGTTTTAGATAAAAAGGCGGGATCTCCCATCCACCGTAAGTCCATTCACGCCACTGCATATTCGCGAGAAGGGCGTACGTTTGCCGCGCACTCTCGACCCTTACGACGTACAACGAATCTCCAGACACAGATTGAGGATTTTGGACAAACTCGGCGAAGGAAACTTTGGCTTGGTAAGCATGCGCACCCTTTGGAGCGGATCGTCGACGAATAGGCTCGAGTCGTGGTAAAACGAGGTCGAATTTGAACAGGTGCATCTGTGCGAGGCAAAGGGCATTACGAATCCGGAACTGGGATCTATCCAGAATCGGCAAACCGTAATAGTTAGGTCTCTCTGGCGAGGCGTTGTAGATTCTTTGAGGTAAGCAGCAGGCATGGGATCACAAGTACCTCATAAACAGGTTAGAACTCTCTATAAGTACTTCGAAAGACAGAAATAGTACTTCAATGCCAGACAGTATCCAACCTTTTACAAGTACTTTTGTAAAAAGATGTACTACTTGCAAATGTATTCGAATCTTGGTAGAACAGATACAAGCATAAACAGTAATTAAAACCTACTATGCAGTTCTGATTTCCAAGATTCGAATACTACTTGCGAAAGATTTGATTCCTTTCGACATCGAAGTACTTGTAAGTATCTCTTCGAAACTTGTAATCATTGAAACGTTATTGCTTTTAAGTAGTAATCTAAACCCATGAAATGAAAACTACTCTAGTAACCAGGTTCATTTAATTTCTTCGTTCCTTATGTACGACTCGGTTCCCGTAGGCTAGACTTCACGAACGACATGCACGTTCTGGGAACGCTTCGGGATTCCAACGTAACGAAGATGATCGCGCTAGTGGAAGAGGAACCGTTCGGAGCTGTATTCGAGTACGGCCAACACGGAGATCTCCCTACTTTCTTAGAGAGCCGCGAAAAGTCCGGTAACGAGGACACGATCAGGTAAAACGTTCGGTTACGTCTGTCGGAGTCAGTCTCATCCAAGTCTCATCCAAATCGTTTAAAAATTGAACTCTGTTCACAGCTATGATACTCGCCTAAATTTTGTCATGCAAATCGTATCCGGCATGAAATACCTCGAGTCCTTGAACATTCCGCACTGCGATTTGGCAGCGAGGTAAGCAATCTTCTTGGGGACGAAGCAGTCGAGTCTACCTAACGAGTCCGTTTGATCTATACGTTTCAGAAATTGCATAGTCGGCCAAAATCTGACGATAAAAGTGTCCGACCACGCCATGTACTGTAGCAAATACGATCATCATTATTACATCGACGGATCCAACGCGAAAATTCCGCTTCGTTGGATGGCGTGGGAAGCGGTTCTATTGGTAAACAGAAATCTTTTTATTCGCGACTTCTCAAGATATCTATTCCAAGATATCTTCCAGATATCTATTGTTATTTCTCCTATTGTTTTCGTCAGAGTAAGCGTAGCTGTCAAGCCGACGTCTGGTCCTTCGCTGTGACGGTTTGGGAAATCTTCATGAATTGCGAGGAAATGCCGTACGCCGATTTAACGGCGGAACAAGTTCTGGAGAATTGCGGCCGTTGGTACCAGAGCGAGGCGTGCATCGTGAACGGGATCGGTAACAACGACGAAAGGAATCAGTTTCGAGTTCTCGCGAGGCCCAACCGCTGCTCGGACGATCTCTATCGCATGATGAACAAGTGTTGGAGCAAACGAACCGAGAGCAGACCTACCTTCGAAGAAATCTACCTTTACCTAGAGAGACTAGCGCTCGATTGAACGTTCGAGATGCTCGATCGAGTAGCACGGACCAAATCGGTTACAATCAGCTATGAAGCATCCTGTACCGCGTACGTAAATTTATCTTTTTTACGCTCGTCCACGTCCTCGTCCCACTTCACTGCTCCTCTAACTCGGCAAGAGATTAACTCCCCTCTCTCGTGCACCACCCTTCCCCCCCGTCCTTCTCCCTTTCCAAGCATGTGGGTCCTCCGTTCCGCGGGAGGATCGTACAAATCGACGCGCGCCCCCAGGATGCTCTAGCCATCGAATCGTAATGCTCAACTAGGTTTACTTGAGTCGATCTTTACGTATATAAGAATATATTATATTATGCCGAATAGGTTCGCCGTCATCGGGGAAACGAAAATTTTTGTATAAAAGATAATGCATATTCTCGTCTTTTCGTCTATGACCTAGCGATCGCGCGAATGGTAGAAGTTACTTAAAAATTGGCAGGATCGCGTCGCTCTATATCGAATAGAGTAGTGCTCGGTTAAATGAGAAAATCTAACTACGGATGAACGAAAAATGATATCGTTACGTTTCTCCAACGCGAGCTGTAGCTGCGACAACGCGCGTAAAAAAATATTTGCATTCCTTGCTGTATCTTCGCGATAGCGTTATCAAAGATTGGCGGGTGTTTGCTTATTATAATCAGACGAAATGAATAGATCTCAGCTTGAATACGAATTTCCAATCGCTCCCCACTAATTAACCATCTCGTTCTCATTTAATCGGACACTACTGTATTTTAACACTTTGAACCTTCGTTAGTGTCCGATAATACTACCGCTCGCTATACGTACGATATACGGCATTACGCAAGTAAAGTAAGTAAGAGCTCACCGATTTAGAATAACGCGACGATAACTCGTATCCGAACGCGTTATTCTCGAATTCGTGACGGAATCGAGGTTTCCTATTATGTCATTTCTCGACTAAGCGTTCATCTTGATCGAAAATAAATCAACTCGTTCGTGGAAGGGTTCCCGCGTGCGAATGTCCTTGAAAGTTTCCCGAGACAACGCTGGACATTCGCACGATACGCGTTCCCTTTCGTTTCTTGTTTCAACGATCGATTATGCGCTAACTCTTGTAATTAAGCGATAGCCTGTAAATTATTTGCGCGCGTTACTACAAACGAAACGGGACAATCAATTTCGCAAACGTTGTTTCATACACCACGCGATACGCATATCAAACGGTAATTATCGATCGACGCACTGGTATCTGTACTTAATCGCACCTGTACTCGAAACAGCTACGCCACCTGCGCAGGATTACCACGTGTAAAGATTATCGAAAGTAAGAATAAGCTCGCGTAGTTTATCTCAAACGTTCGACGACGAAGACACTCGTTCAAATTGCGAGTACATTTGTTTTTCGAACGACGCCAATAATCATTGCACGTGGAAACCGCGCGTTACTTTGAGTCGATAATTAAAGCGCGTCGTCGTATCGCGTTGGTATCGCGCGTTCGTTTCTATCGAACAATTTTTTCCATTTACGGTTACAGATAATCGAAATTTGTAATACAAATCGCACACGTATCCTATCGAAAATTATATTCTTCATATTTCCAAAGTTACGACGAATAAATATTGTTATACCATCTAGGAAGTTATCGTTTCTATACGGAGACGCAAGTAGCCGATTCCCAGTGGGCTCTCCCTCCGTTTCAATCGTTTACTCGCACCAAGGGAACGATATTCATTTCTCGATGAAAATCAACGAGCGGCTGCTCCCAGCGTTCCTCGTAGTAAACGCCCAACAGGAATTTCGCGCCCATTCCCGTCCTAATGGCCCACGGAAGATGGTGCTCGAGGTACATCTTCCTCTGCCTGAAAACGGGAAATGAGATCCACGCTCGGATATGCTCGAAACGATGTACTCGGAGTACAGTACTCCGTCCCCCGTTCCCTTTACCTTGGACGCAACCGATACGCTCCGAATATCGCTCCGCTCATGCACATTGGCAAACGCAATTGCAACGCTTCTATCCACTTAACGGATACTTCTCCAAGCATCGTGGTCGGCATTAGGAGTATCGCATGAAAAATGTCGTGCGTTTCTCGGTATCGTTGCATTACGTACGCCAACTCTGTGTCCTCGACAAATCTGACCGCAGGCCTAGAATCGGGGGACACGTTCTGCAAAATACGAACATCTTCACTTTTAATCGAACGCATTCCGAGAATCCAGACTTTTATGAGTGCGGGAAGTAAATACGTGAGAAATATTCGTAGCAACGGATACGAGATAAGATTGCGAGATGACATGTTTAGAAGCGGATGTACGCGACTTTGGGGTTAATTAGGGCCGTCACGTGGGTAAGAGGCGCCTGTGTGCAAGAAAAACCTAGCGCCCTTTTACACGATTGGTAAATTACAACAAATATACGTTATACATTCGATAATTATTTACATATTAACCCTCCGAGCTTTGGCTGCCACAAAATTTTCAATTAAATCACTGATATTTAATGTATCTAGAATGTTATTCTCAGTGGATACAATTGAAAAATCAGTTAATCGTTCTTGACTAATTGTAGAACGTAAATATGTAGTTTTTAATCATGTTTAATTTGGAAAAATGCCTTTCTCCGGAAGCTACCGAAACAGACAAAGTTAAATAAATTAAGTTCACCACCGCGTGGTAGTAAATTCAAGGATTTCTTACAATTTCAGATAACTCGATTGTTAATATTACATACTACTTTTAAGCATTAACGATTTTGCAGACAACCTTTCGGCAACCGGATAAGCTAGCTCACCTTTCATTACACCTTAGTCGTAATGCATAAAAAGTACACGAATTATTGTATACTGACGATACACAACCGTACGTGGCGGCCCTGTTAATTACATAGTAGGACCGGGGCTACTTCCTATTGTTCCAAAGCTTACGTTGACGTCCAAGAATTCACGGTAGGTCCTGCCGACGGTTCCTTTCGGCAAGTCTTTTAGCGCGGAAAGGTCGACCGTCGAGGACGATATACGTGGCTTTTCGTCGAGGATACGACGTCCCTCGGAGGTGGCCAACAATTGCTGGCGGCAGTGGACGAGTGCATCGGTCCCGGTTGTTTCTCCCAGGCACGCGATCATGTCCCCGCGAAAGGGATTGACGAAGGATATCGCGGCCGCACCTGCCGTTAAAACCGCGCGCTGCAACCCCGACAACGGGACGCGGTGTTTCGCGTAATCCTCCGCGAACCGTGCACCGCTGGAAAATCTTCGAATCGTCCCCTCTGAAACCGACCGAGGACAATAACGATCGATCGTTACTTTTCTTCATAAATAAAATTTATTTCGATAGAATTTATATGTACACATTGTTGCATAACGGCGACGCTTAACGGCGCATAACGTCTTTCGAATGTACGAATATATGTATATATGTACAAATCACGTTCTACGTCTCGAAACGTTGCGTTTACCGGTACACGGTAGGTTTATGGCACAGCGCGTTCTATCCGGTAACCATCTTTTTTTTTCACTTTGGTATGACGCTCGTTGTCTCTCATCGTTATGCCCATTTATACGTCCACTTCCCACGATGCTTCCCAGAGTACTTCCCAGCGAACGGACACGAGGAAGGAGGCAAGCAGGAGAAGTGAAACGAAAACATGGAGAGGAAGTGGTCTTTAACAAAGATCATCGTCTAAATGAAATTTTTCGACCGGATGGAAACGGTTCGGACAACGTAGTTTGAGCATTGTCAGATCATACGATTTGAACTTTGACTACTTGGTCCTCTGTGAGGGGCGAATACTTGTGCTCAGCTGACTCCTTCTTGCGGAAGGTGACCCAGGTATAAACCAAGCTACCGATTACGCTTAAATTCAATCCTACAAAGTTAAGCCAGGTAAATATATAATCACCGCCGATAATCATACCCAAATACGTGACGCATATGTTTTTCAAGCAGCCGATTATAGTGGTGGTCAGTGCGGAGTTATGCAGGGTACAGAGAATCATGCTGTAGGATAGCACAAAACCCATCACACACGAAAGCCCAAACTGCACGACGAAGAAAACGTTTCCCCAGTGCGGAAATTCCATCGTGGAGCGTGCATCTCCCATCCAGCAAGCTATAACGATGGCCGGGACAACCATGAACAAGGAATTATAGTACATCAATCCGTATTTTCCAAGTTCCTTAGAGTCTAGCTTCTTCTTCATATAGACGCCGTTAGCTGCGGTGAAGAAATCGTTTAGCAGGATAAAAAGGTAGCCCTCCAAATTAAAAGCTAGGTCGTTCAGCGCTGCCACCACTGCTCCAAGAATCATTGTATAGACGCTTAGTTGAACGGAGACGCGCGCCTTTAATCCGAGAATGTAATATTCGGCAAACATAGTCATCAGAATACTGAACCGTCTTAGCGCGGTGAACATCGGGAGGCTGAGCTGCTTGGTGCCGCCCAATCCAAACACCATGTTGCCGATGTAGATAATAGGCAACGGCCATATTTTCCCGAACGTCGCCGCTTCTAGGTTAGGGAACTCGACGTAACGCATTTTCTTCGCAGAGAACAACAACACGATCGTGGCCAACATCTGTCCTACGCCGAGCATTTGAAATGACGGGAATTCGAATGTGGTCAGCACCGTTTTATTCACGACCGTGATCATGAACGACGAGAACCCGTAAAACACGGCGGAACCGACTCGCGCGAATATCTCATTTTGCTCGTTCGCCGGCATACCGATCGATCTGTTCTGCCGTGATACAGTCGCATCTGTTTCTTCGATCCTGTGTCTCCTCTTACTTTCGTTAGAAAAATATGTCAAATGTGATGGAACATACTCAAGTATAACCTCATCGTCCTTCCTTTCGTTCCGTAGCGTTGACGATCACCGAAGATAACTATCGATCACCGCAGACAATCTCGATGCTCGAAACTGATCAAAATCATAGAAATTATTCGCGATTAAAGTCGAAAACGCGAAACTTCTCCTTTCGATTCGATCGGTTTGGTTTGGATATATATAGTCTTTCGTCAACGTGTCACCACAGACACAGAATCACACAGAATGTGACAGAATGCTCTCACGAATGCGAGAGAAACAGTGATGCCAGATTTTGCTCCCAGTGCGCAGTGCTGTAGCTATACGAAACAACGTATGATACTATGATTCCACGGTTGGCGCCAAAAACCAGGAAAACCGTTTTTTTTAATTATAAAAAATATGTATTGTCTGTGAAATTATTTCAACCTCTACCCCTATCTTATAATTTATCCACACAATTAATATTATTGCATGCAGGGCCGACGCAAGGCAGGTTCAGCACGTTCGCCGGAACCCGGCCCCGCGTTTTGTGAGGCCCCTCAATCTACGAAAATTTTGATGGAATGATGATATTATTAACAGATGCAAGACATTTTTTGATTAGCAATGATTCAGTTTAAAGGAGTGACAAACATCATCAAAGTAATATTATTTAATATTCATCTTATAAACAATATATAATGTATAACAGCATTCGTAAATAAATAATTCCTCGTTGAAATATTTAAGTATAGGATTTTAATGTGAATTCAAGCCCCACAAAATGTTTGAACCTGGTCCCGCAAAAGGTCATTCCGGCCCTGATTCCATGCTAAGGAGTACTTCCAATTTCCATTTATAATTCTATTTTTCTTTGGGGCGACTAAAGGCGCCAGTTTTATGGTCGTGTTAGCTACTTCATTGGCGCTAAAAACCAGTGCGCATGCGCGACTGAGAGCCAAATCTGGCATCACTGCTCTCAAGAATAGCGAACCATAGCGAATATTTATTCGAGGACAAACTTGGGCATTTTCCCGATAGAGGCGCTGATCGAAGTCCGAGAGTAGTTCGGTACGTTCACTGCTAGATGGCTATTTATTCGAGTAAAAATAGCGGGAACCCACAAGAGAAAAGATGAAAGTTTAAAAGTTTAAAAAAGGGCCTAGTTATTACTTATAATCAATTCATGCGTCATTAATAATAATATAATGATAATAAAAACCACCTCTCTAGCTCTGCTAACGATGCTTTCTAACGATGATTTTTCATTTCCACCGTTGCAAATGTAATCGAATTTCAGGAAAAAGGACTCATTAACTCTTTAATTTTTATCTCTGAAACTAAACGTCGAATGAAAAACTGTGAATATAAAAAAAAGTTTCGTCTTATCATTCTCTATAAGACGACATTTTTTTTATTTCGATATCTGTTATATTTTTCGAATTTCCAGCAAAAATCGTCCCGCAGTCAAAGGGTTGATAATCCCAAGGACGTGAAATCAATTTCAAGATTTAATCATTTTGATAGCGTCGATAAATCTAACAATAAGTCGAAGAAACAATCGAACAAAATCGAAACAATCAACCCAACTCCGAATGGATTAAAATAAACGTAACAACGTTATATTTTCTTTTTAGCGGGACGTCTTCCAAAAAGTTTGGAGATCCATGACCTAACGTGATCCCACGATAAAGAAAGCGACTACCTAGCAACACTAGCAATTAAGTGTATTTTTAGCGAAATGGAAAGGGCTCGAAAAGAAAACTTTGGCCGTCTCATTCAATAATCGCGTGCATGCGTGTATGGCGATACAAGATTAAAGTTCTCTACGCGAATTAGAATTATTTCTTAGCGTCGGTGGGCAAATGGCAGCGAGGATGATTTCACATGCGTAGTGGCCTCGTTTTCCGCTCGAAAGTACAGTTTATTTATCCCGATGTGACCGCTCGCTTATAATTACGTGTAAGCCGTGACGACCAGTGACGACTATATCCATTCAAGACCTACCTAACGCTTTATCGATTCACGCGAAACTTTTAGAGCTTCGCGTAGTGAACTTGATTCAATACGAAGAGCAACATAAAGATCGATGGACGTAATATAAACCTTTACAGGAGAAATCATTTTATCGCGGTAACCGTACCCTATTGTACGTTACCGTATGAGTCATACCGCGAAACGGATCGTCCCAGTAGTGATTTTATTGACAGCAGCGAGATAACGGGCCAGACAATAATTCTTTGCCATCTTTGACGTGCGTATTGTCATCGCGTTTGACGTTCCTGTCACTTTTCGCTACATTCCAATTTTCGATTTCACGCGACGGAAAAAGCCACGCGAACGACCGATTCCAGTTTTAATTGCGTTCAAATTAAACGTGTCCAGAAGTCGTCGAGGAATCACGGTTTTCTAGGATTTTTATTACGAATGAGTAACCCTACATGTTAACCAGGGAATAAATAACCTCTGCAAAGGGGTTAAAATCTCTTTATTCCAGTGAAGAATATTTCAGTAATTACAACCTAGCCTAAATACAAAAACGAGTCAATATGGATATCAGGTTCTCGTCGTACCACAACGGTGGACCTGCGAGGGAACAAGATTTTGGTAGGCTGTCTCAAACTATCGGCACGTCAATCTTGAAGATATCTCAAAATGGTAAGCATGCTTAGATTCTACTCAATCAAAGAATAAGTTATTTATTTCGAGTTACATTTTACAGTATCGTCCATGCAGAAGATGGTCAACCAGTTGGGGGGTTCTACGGATTCTCAAGAACTCAGAAACCAGCTGTGAGTACGAATATATAAAATATCCAACTGGAACAGCTGCTTGATTCGTCTTGTAAAACTTTTTAGGCATCAAATACAACACTACACACAGCAGCTGGCAAAGGATACAAGCGTACATCTTCGAGATTTAGCCATACTAGCTAACAATTCTGGTTCTACTAGCCCTGGGGAGCAAAGGCAACGTAAAATGCAGAGGGAACGACTTCAAGATGAATTTACAAGTGCATTAAACTCGTTCCAAGTAAGAAAATATATCACTTTGAATGATTTGAATTGCTACCAACAGATACGTTCATTTACGTGTTATTTTAGGTAGTACAAAGACTCGCTGCCTCCAAGGAGAAGGAAATGGTTAGGAAAGCCAAAGCAAATGCGGGTATCGCGCCATTTGGGGAAAAGAAGCAGGAGACATTGATAGAATTGCAAGACAGTAGAACTCAGAAACAAATACAACAACAACAGATGAAAGAAGAACAAAATTTGCGAATGTTGGAGGAACAGGAAGCAAGCATAAGACAATTGGAGGTAATTTAGTTCAAAGCGCTATTTAACAACTAGCATTTCAGTAAAATATCTTGTATAAATCAATGTTCTTGTAGAGTAATATCAGCGATATCAATCAAATCTTCAAAGATCTTGGTGCTCTGGTGTACGACCAAGCGGAAGTCATCGATTCCATAGAAGCTTCCGTTGAAAGGACAGAAGTATCTGTCAGTGAAGGTACCGCGCAAGTAAGGCAAGCAAGTATCTATAAAAATAAACTGCGCAAGAAAAAATGTATACTCGTACTTATCGGAGTTGTTGTACTGTCTATATTAATTGGGATAATAGTCTGGCAGAGCTCTTAAATCTGTTTATATCGCGAATGATACACTCGTGCGAGTAGCGTGACGTTAAAGGTGTAGCTGCATTTTAATCGCAAGGTACTGTAAGTTGGTGTATTACGAAGAAGATCCTGATTTAATTGCAATTGCTTTACGAGTATCTGGGAAGTATAGTAATATCAAGGAGAATGAACGCAAACAAACTTGCATTGCTCCGTATCTTACCGACGACTCTCTTGTAATTGTGATAATAAATGGTGCAAGATCTATTTTGCAAGTAAGGTGTACAATGGCAAGTCTCGGACTGCCCTGTCCATTTGTAAGTTTCATTACTCATTGCATAATACTAACGCGTAAATATACGTATAAAAAGTATATACACGTACACATAGGTCTATCGATGGTGTAATCGTGATTAATATTCCGTACGATTTTATGAAATATACTCGGCGAGTATGGGGGATTCGTTTTAAAACAATGCTAGCGTGCACTTTAAAATCCAAATCTTATGTGAATTGTATGAATCGGTGTGGATGAATATCTTGGTATAATCATTGTATAGTATGCAAAACGCGTTTCGAACGTCCTAAGTCTTGTTGATAATATCGAGATGAACAATCAAAGAAGATATGCGGAACAACAAAGAATGCGAATGAGAGATCGATATAAGTTAATGTATTATATTTAAGAATGTTGATTTATTTTAATCAGAATATAATAAACTATATAATACAAATGTTGACTGTTGCACGACTGATATTCAATTTGAATATTTATCAATCTATCCAAGGGAAAGTCCATTTTCATCTATTATTATACGTTTAATTAATGACTTTAAATGTTATTGTAATTATAAAAATTCACTTAATTACTTAAGTATCTTCTAAGTATTTATAGTAAGTCTAAACAAAAATGCGCGCCATATCGTTTCGTATCGAAATGCGCGGCAATTTATCGATCAGATGGCCAGCTATCGCGGGACATATCATCCAATGCCATCTGGTCAGTTACCTGCAGTTACCTTTGTATCGTTTGACAATTTGGAATGGTTCGGAGCTGTGCTTGCTGGAAATGGAATTGCATTAATTGTTTTGCTTGTAAATACGTCCATGGGAAATTAAGTGGATGAAAATAAAAAGTGACCGAGACCCGTGTGAATGTGACGTGTAACAATATAATGTTGAAACACATTTCCCTCGTAACGGCGATCATACTGATATGTTTGTCACAGTCTGAGGTTAGGATAATCAGCTTAAGTAAACGAAATTTAATCGCTACATATTATAATACACGTAATTTATATAATATAATACAACGATTTTAGGCACAATATGACGACAAACGATGCAAATGCATTTGTCCTGGCCTGTCCTCCGTGATAAGTACAGCCCAATCATCGTTAGAACGACAAACGTACATCATAAACGTTCCACCATCCCAATGGTAATTGGAATTCCTATTATTTAATTACAGAACTTAATCGCACATGTTCGACACATGTCGAATAAATTTAGTGCGGCGTAAACTTCATCTACATTTTAATCTACAGCAACTGCGAAGGTGTTGTATTATCAAGGGTAGGAGATCAGATAAAAGGCAAGGAGGAGATCTTTTGTTCGCGATGCGATTGCAAATACGAAAATAGAAATACTACTATTATCAAAGTAAGTCTTTTATTGTTCTCTGAGAGATGAATTTTGGAGTAACTGCTATATCTTTCCAGATAGTGGTCATACTTGTTATTTGGGTTATATCTCTTTTAGTAATTTATATGTTATTCTTAATTTGTCTGGATCCGTTGTTAAACAAAAGAATTCATAAAGCTTCCGCAAATATTGGCTACCATGAGCACAATAATGAAGAGGTATGTTGATATTTATATGAAGAATATTTATTCCAGAACTAGATCACTTTTTTACTAATCGTCAGAAGTAGACTTATTTAAGAAATTGCAAGATTAACACAGTTTTATGATAGATAGGCAGTTTGAATATAGTAATCGCATAAATTGTTTTCGATCCGAGTAGGATGATACGTCGATAACACCTGGAACATCGCATCCTATGCGTGAAAGAGGTAATGTTTTAAATCGCGTTGGCCATCAACAAGATAAATGGAAACGTCAAGTTCGCGAACAACGACGTAACATTTACGATCGACATACCATGCTTAATTGAATTGTACAGTTCTGTCTCTAAAAAGAATTATATATGATGCATAATAAATAAGGGATGTGACTTTCGTTTTATGGCATTCACAGCGTTGTACATAATTTTTTTTTTTAATCTCTTATGTATAAACGTGGAAATTTAATTATACATACGTAACGAGTAAAGATAAGAATCAATTTGCTTGTGAATGTCAGTAAAATTCGTCGTTACGTTAACATTGCACTGAATATACATAGGTACGTCTATGAGATTCATCAGATCTAGTGTATAAAACAATAAAGTATTAAAGATATGTTATTTTTATCGGTAAGTGTATATACATTTTTTTTGTGAAACATCTTAAAAAATAAATTTAGATATCTTACAAGACATATTATATACTGCAGGAGCATGGCTAATTTTAACGCGTGCAATTTTATTGTACCCAATAGCATTTGCAATAATGTTCGATGTTAATTCATTAATGCTCGTCTATAATTAATTAATGCTTATTTAAATTTAATTCAACTGTGTAAAGCGATTTAATATTACATCTAATTCGAGTAGAAAGTCATTTGGATTCTGTAATGGGATCTTTTTTTTTTAGTGCTTCGTCGAGTTTGTGTTTAATTGTATCATATAAGGTTAAAACTAATGCTCCACCAGTGCCTCTAAGAATGTTTGAAAGCGAGCCTTTAAAAAAGGCCTCGATCCCTTCCTTTTGGGCCGTTTTTACCCAACAATCCAATGTACTTTTGTACATAATCTCATCTTTACTGAGTCCTGATTGCATCATCATGCGTCTTCTAACCGTATCGAAAGGATACGATATGATTCCAGCGATTGTTGTTACTACCTGCAAATATATATGAAGGTATAATCAATTTATGATATAGTAATACTGATAGATTTGATACAAGGGCTGTTGATAACTTGCCTGTGCAATTAGAAATGTAATATATAACGGGGTTTGTTTTGGATCAGGAAGCATTCCTTTCGAAGTATCATAAAGACCGAAATACGCTGCCCTATAGATAATAATCCCTTGAACGCTCACGTTAAAACCTCGATATAAGCCAAGGAATCCGTCCGACTTGAAAACTTTTACCAAACAATCACCCAGGCCTTTAAATTCTCTTTTATCTGCCTTTCCGATATCCGCCGCCAGTCTGTAAAAGAAAATTAATTATTAGATTGTTTAAAGTTAGAAACAGGTACACCGTAATACCTGGTACGGGCAAAATCAAGTGGATAAACGAATAATAAAGATGTTGCTCCTGCAGCCCCGCCAGATGCTAAGTTGCCAGCAAACTGTTTCCAAAATGCATCTTTCGGCACACCTTCCAAAAATAAAAGCTTGAATTTGTCTTTGAATGCAAAATTCAATGCTTGAGTTGGAAAATATCGAATTACGTTAGCTAGATTGCCTCTCCAAAAACTGAGGACACCGGTTTCTTTAGGTATACGTACGAAAGCGTCCATCATACCTAATCAAAATTTAAATTGTGTACGAATAAATACTATATTGGTTTATAATCGAAGATTACCTTTGTACCGTTGTTCTGGCCGTATTTGTCTCGAGGTAGCCTGTACTTGAAGCAATAGCTTCACTCTTTCTAAAGGTGCTACTGCAGTTTTTGAAACGGCTGCAGATATCCCACCAGCTAAAAAATCTATCAAAAATGATCTATACGTATCCATATTAATAATAGATTCTTTAAGGAACGTATGAGTCTTCAGATATAAATTGCTGGATACAAAGAAGATATCGTTTCGAATTGCAAATCATAATGTAATGATATGTATATAGTAATTTTATAGATAGGCCTGTTTGCTTTTTCACGAAGTAAATTCGAGCACATTGAAATTATGAAGAAAATTTATGTTAATGAACAGTTAACCCAAGTATGATACCAGCTTTCTTACGACAGTTCAGTTTGTTAATTCTATTGTTTTCCATTTTTGTTTTTTTATTATGACAATAGGGTGGGTAAATTAATACAGAGCAAATTTGATTTTAACGTTTAATAGCTTTACATAAAATCGAATCTTTTCTCATCAATTTAAGGCGTCAAATTGGTCATACAAATTTTGTCATCAAAGCTCTCGAACATATCTTAAGAACTATGATTATTCTTTCTTTTTTCCGTATAAAGAGTTAGATCACAGTAAATTCTAGCTAAAATCGACGCAAAATATATTAATGCATCTTTAAAGTGTAGGAAGTATAACTAAACATTTATGTAAAGATATTTAAACTCCAGGGACTAGACATAATTACTTAACATCAAACCACATCGAACAAGTGTTGGATATTAGCACTTTCGTTTCTAAAATGCTCATATCCGTTAATTATATCAATATAACTGGAAGGTACATATAGCGTATTTGGAGGAATGTTTCGGCACATAGTGGCAAAGTTATATACGCATGGACAAAACTGGACCATCTTTGGTCAATATGAAATTCAAAAAGATATATTTCGATATATTGTTCTCTTCTCATCTAAGTGCATAAAATAGTGATTAAAAATGAAAAGCTAACATTAAAAAATAATAGTATGTATAGTATTGCAATTGGTGCTTAATTTTGGTTAAATAATACATACATTCACTGCCTTTGTAGCGTAGGTATTTACAACTATTGCATTCAAATGGAATGATAGGATATGAGTCTTGTGCGAATATATTCACAATCTGTAATCTATTTTCGTAAATGCATACCAATTTGAATTTACCTGCTTTCAAAATATATTATATATATTCAAAATTGGCACTAATTAAAATTCATTCGTATTACATCCAAGTAAATGGCAGTGAAAGTACTTAATACCTTGTTCAACGAAATATCGTTAAGTTGAAACTTAGAAATTGACTCTAATATGCAACAGCATATTTAAAATAAGTGTATATATATCAAAGATTCGTTAAATACATCGTACGAGTACGGACGTGGCCAGAGAGCATTCAAAATTCTCATACATCGTGTTTATGCAGCATGAACAGACTGGAAAAAAATTTATTGTTAAACGTATTTGTATATGTATATCTTTTAATATCAATATCGATAGTGAAATTTACCTTCGCAATGTCGACGCCTGTTAAATTTTTCACCAATTCTGGTACACGAGTGACGATACTAAGAACTTCCTCGGTTAATTTCTCTGCTCCAATCGTTCCGTTTCCGCTAGAAACCATCGTTATCTTCTTTGCTTGCGATAGCGGAGCTGCAACTTCAGCAGCGACCTATAACAAATATTTGTCATATAGCGAGGAAAATTAAAATTTAATTACGATAAATACCTTTGGAAGAGTATCGAGCATCATATCAATCATAGCAGCACTCTTGTATTCGTTCCATGCAGCAGCCTTCTTTTCCATCTGCTCTGCCTCTGCTTTAGCTTTAACTTCAATAGCAAATGCTTCCGCATCGCCACGAATCTTTATAGCTTCTGCTTCTGCTTGAGCTTCCATTACTAGACGCAATTTATTAGCCTCGGCCATTTTTTCCAATCTGCAAGCATAATGGTTATCGATATCTTCCGTGCAACTTACAAAGATTCGCGTAACTTACCTGTACTTTTCGGCATCGGCTGGTCGTCGTACAGTTGCGTCCAATTCTTTCTCACGTCTCAACATTTCTTGTTCTTGGACCGCGATCTCTTGTCCACGTTCTACCACCTTCACTTGCATCTGTTCCTCCATAATTCTCTGTTTAGTTTTAGCTGCTTGTAACTCGTAGGCCATCTCTGCTTCTGCTTTCTATAAGTAATAAAAGATTGATAGCGTAATTCTTATTTCGTCGAAAACACAAATAAAGAAACTCACTTTAGTTTGCACTTCGACATCATAAGCGGCCTTTTTCAATTCAAAATCTCGTTGTGCTTTAGCGATCTCGGTGTCGTTTTGGAAACGGGCAGCCATTCTTTGTTCCTCGGCCATAGCTTCGCGAATCTGGGAGTCTTTGCGAGCTTCTGCCTCTCCCATTCTTGCATCTCGTTTTACTTCAGCTGTTCGCGCCATTCCAAGGGCTTTCAGATATCCCTATAAATAATCGACATATATTTAACTCGATGTAATAGCCAGCGATCGATGCTATGTTACAATTAAGAATTTTGAATAACACTGATTTCAGCAGTTAGTTTCAAGTCAGCCTGAATTACACAAAGGCGGCACACAATAAGATATATATCGTATCACATATATTTAGATGACATAGGTCTGCGAATGTGTGTAGAAAAGTTGTGCTACCATAGAAGCAAGCACTTGAAATATACGCTCTAAGTCCCTTGTTATTTGAATGTTAACAATTTTCGCTAACATTGGCCGAATAGCAGTGCGTTGGCATTATATGTAGTGATAAAACAAAATTTGAACGTACCTTTGCCCCCTGCAAGTAGCAAAACAAAAATGTATTCAATATTTACAATATAAAAGATTGGACTACATTAACCAATATTAATTAAAATTACTTATAAGATATCGTACAACCAGTTAAAGGGGGACTTTTAGTGGTGTATAAACAATTGGTACATTAACGTCAAAAAGTCGATTAACACATATTTATGTTCTACTACTTCAATATTTTTTGTATTTTTCTGCATAAAACGCTTCCTGGATTGTTGAATATAAAGTAAATATGTTTCGATGAGAGAAGGATGAACTTACTTCCTCGTCTCGAATATCTTTTAATGTATATGACACGACTGTGATGCCCATGTTGACCAAATCACTGCTTGCCACTTCGAAAACTTCTTTGCTAAATTTTTTACGATCCTTGTATATCTCCTATAACACAGAAGCGAATTCGGTTAAATAAGGTCAATACTTACTCTTACATAATGGTTCAATTAAACCAATACTGTGTTTATTTTACCTCCACAGTCATGCTTCCCATTATTGCCCGTTGGTGTCCTTCTAATGTAACAAGGGCGATGTTATGAATTTCTTCTTCAGACTTCCCAAGAAACTGTTCGCATGCAGTGGAAAGCATTTCTTCATTTTGTCCTTGTATCTTAACCTACGAACAAATAAGCAAATATTTTTTATGTAGATTGCTCTTAAACTCCTTTGAAAATTTTTATTTTCTTTTTTCATTTAAACATGCAAATCGATTACCTGTGCAATCCCAGTTACAGATATTGGAACTCCTTGACACGTATACACAGTTGGACTTTCGACTTGTAAAGTCATAGTGTTTAGCGAAATTCTGAAAAGAGAAAACACATTTGAAATAGAAGTACTTATTTTCAGACAGAAATTTACATATGTCAAAATCTTTCATTGTTTCTTGTGATACATGTAAATTTACTGTGGTTTTGATTACAGTTAAAAATTTGACACGATATACTCACTTTTGCACTTGCTGGACGATGGGCCATACAAATACCCGGCCACCGGGTACCAAAAGAGGTTTGCTGTAGCAGCATCCTTAAAGATAGGAGTTCTGAATAAGTCGGAAATCGATGAGGAAAAACTGAACACGATAGTATAGTATGTTTATAGTATCCTTAAAAAAATAAATATATAAATAGTTTTAAAATGTTGAAAAATGGTGTTGAAAAGCGACAGTGCGACACGAATTAATGTAATTTATGACGTGAAACGTGATGTTACGTAAAAACGTGTTGTTTTGATGTTTAATAATCGTCATTTAATTGGCAAGGTACTCCTCCCATGTCGGTTTATTCAAAGCATCTAGAAAACGAACGGAGTGTGAGAAAAATCTGCTTATACAATTACCTGAAACTACGAGGGCCTCGTTAGGGCCGCAGGTAACGAATCCACAACTCATAGCCACAATTGTTAAGAAAAACAATGGTCAGAGTAAGTTTAAAGGGATCGAATTACAACCTAATTCCACTACAGTCAATTGACGTCGTTACGATGTCGTCATCTCCGTGATCGTATCAAAGCTTACGCCCAGTTTTCAATGGATGTTTGGACATGCCGATAACACAGGCTCCCCACCGGTATCGAACCACAGAGAGTAGTTCAACAGAAGCGAAACTCTTGTCGGAACTCTCGACTATACCATATCTCGATTCGGATATAATTGAGAAGGATGGAAATATTTAATAAAGATGTAAACGTCCATAAAATTAAATTTATTTATTCAACATTTCGTATATAATGTATATCGAAAAGAAGCTTATAATTACCGAGTACCTATTTTACAATTAATTCTAAAATCGTCTAAACTGTTTTTTAAATCTTTCGTAATGATAATCATCGGTTGCTTTTTCTCCATTGTCTTTTCTTTTCCCTTTAAAATCGTCTTTGGGCGCCGGCATTTTCTTTTTGTCGTCGGAATCTTGCTTCGATTTTTGGAAGTCTGCATCTTCTATGTTAACTAAAAAGAACAGTAAATGATATTCATGGTTCGTTTGAATTATTTTATCGGATAGTTGAATACAAAAAACGAAAGAAGCAACGTACATCTATTGTGTTGCACAAAATTCACAGCCATATTGGTCGGCACAAATTGGGAAGGACCATCTTTCTTCCTATGCCTGTCCCAAAGTAACTTCAACTTAGCTTCTTCTGTAGCTTCGATATTGCGAATCTTTGCTCTAAAATGAAAAGACGTAGTCTGTTACGTGCAACATATTAAAATAATAAAACATATAGAAGTACTTACTCTATCCCAAGATCTACCTCTGGAATGCCAGATAACATTTGATTTGAAAGCATTTCTTCGCTTCTATGCGCGGAGCTTTGCCTTAAATGTTCAGGTACAGCTTGTAACGCTGCTTCTTCTGGCGAACAATACGATCCCTTTTCATTGTTTGATCCGCTCTCGGTTTTTTCATCATTTTTGCTCTTTCTCTTGGATAGCTCTTCTTCGATATACTTTACCCTGAAAAATGTACATAAAGCTATTGTATTTGTAACTGACTTTATAGAGATTGTAATACGTTAAGATGCACACACATTTCTTCATCTTCATCTCGTTTATTAGTCTCTGCATTAAATTGTGTACCAATTCCTGTTTCATACGCATCATTTTGTTTCAATTTTGCATTTTTCAATGCAGCCATATTTACCATTCCTCCAGTTTTTACATTGAAAGGATCCGACTAGAAATACAAGATTTTTCTGTTAAAATAGTTTCAAAATTATTTCATTAAATAACTACAAAGCTTACCGTCATTGCATCAGAAGTTTCGCTTTCTCCAAAAGCCAATCCGACAATGTTTATACCTTTAGGACGCTCTCTGAGCTTCTGTATGGTCTTCATTTCCTCAACTTTTTCTCTAAATGGATATTGTGAAAGAACAAATAATTACTGTAATCTAATGTCTTTGTATTAAATAAGTCACAGCAAAGTAATTTTTCAACGTATATTTATATTTTATTTACCTTACAGAAATTTCTTCATTCTCGTCATCTTCATCCGATGAAATTTGACGTTTTCTTAGTGGTTTCTTCGATTTTTTCTTGAATTCAATCTTAGGTGTACTATCTTCTGTACTAGTCATCTGTTTCAAAGTATGTTGTTAAACTAAGTTTTATGAAATTGTTGTTGATGCGAATAGGAATTTACCTTGTCTGTGTAGAGTGCTTTTTATAAATTACGTTGACACTTGTGAGAAGTAAAAGAATTGCAATTTAACGTTAACCACAAAAACATAGCAAGTCTCAAACACTTTAAGGCAGTTTGCAATCATGAACCATGATACTGAGTGTGGCTTGGCTTTACTTTATTTAAAGTGTCCTATTGTTATTTTTACAATTTATACACTTGTTCTTTACATCAGTTTCTTATAAAATCATTTTCTTAGCTTTCTACCTTTTTTTTACAGTGTATATATACAGTTGTATACTATGAGTTTAGTACCAGTGGCGCCATCGGTGGGAAAATGCCCAAGTTTGTAGTAAAAATAGTTCCCACTATTGTGGCTAGATGGCGCCACCAATATATTTAATCAATTATCCTTTATTTTTCATAAATGCACAATTAATATAATTCTTTGCCTTATAACACTACAATATATTATTTCAATATATTCTTGAAACATTTATCTGCCTTTATTATATCAATATAATACGTAGTTAAATTTCGACGTGAATTTTGCCTCTATAAATCTTCATATCTATGGAGAAAATGCACGTGTATTTTAAATGTGGCCGATGTCAACATGAATTCAGAAAATTTTGCATAGTAAATGACAAACTCAGTTAATTGATTGTGGAGTTTCGACACATTTTATCAAGATGAAGAACAAACCAGTTCGTCATAAGGAATCGAATACCTTTCAGGTACGAGAAAAAGGTTATATAGTAGTCCTGTAATGTCCAGTGTTTTTTCAAATGTTTTCTTTTTTATAGTTTAAAACATTTTCTGAGAGAGTAAGTGAAATTGACATCGATGTATTTCACCGAGTTGCTCACCGAAATGAGGAAGATGACGAGGAAGTGGAAACATACTTTCATCAAACTCTTCAAAAGTGGAATTTACTTAACCTCACGGAGGGTTACTGTAGCTTTAAAAAGAAAGTTCGTGACATTATTACTCTTCCACAGTTAATTAATCAGAAGCAATTCGTGATCGACACGTTAATAGAATATTTGGAAAAGAAGGATGTCCTATTTCTTCAACCACTTTTGGAGTAAGTATTATATAATAGATATCAATGAATCCTTTGAGGATAGATACTTAAAAGGAACTTTATAAGGCACAGGTTGTGAATAAAATTAAAATTAATTGAAATCCTATTTTTATTATTGAAACACAATATATTTAGAATTCTCTTCAAAACAACAATGTATATTTCAACTTATTTTCTTGACTTATGTCTGTCTCTAAACATTGAAAATAACGAAACTATGATAATATGTTAAAATCTATTTACTAAATATTCTTAGATAAATTCTATATTCTAGGTTAGTGGTAGCCGTATCAAAAGATCTACAGAAGGATTTTTACGAACATTTCCCTAGATTTCTATGCGTTATAGTTGATTTATTGCAGACGAAAGATACAGAGCAAATAGAATACACATTTATGTCATTGGCATATTTATTCAAGTTCCTATGGCGGTATCTGGTTAAAAATGTTAAAGCTGTATTCAATCTGCTGCTACCATTGTTAGCAGATACACAGCCAGCTTATGTAAACAGCTTTGCAGCAGAAAGTTTTGCATTTGTGGTGCGCAAGATTAAGGACAAAGATTCTTTCTTAGAGACACTGATGCTTACCTTGGAAGAAAATCCTAGCGGAGTACCGGGATGTGGAAAGTTATTATTCGAAGTAATATCTGGTACACCAGGGCAATTTCATTCATGCGCCGAGCAAATGCTTTCTTCGTATTTCGGCATGCTAAACACTGAATCTGTTAATCAAAATCTAACGTTTAAAGTACTGAAAGAAATTGTCAACTGCATTATACAAAATATACATCCACAGAAATGTAATGTATTCTGGTCTGTGTTGTTGAATGTTATAGATGTGTCTATTGAGAAAACGAAAAAGTTCCAAGCAACAGCTGGAAGAGAAAAAAGTTTGATCTTAATAACGCAATTGCTATGTATAGCCATTAATTACAAAAATGGAAGATTAGTCGTAGATCCTATACCTCTTGTTAAAAAATTGGCGCAAACTCTCGATATATTTAAGAACGACAGTGATGTATTACAGGAGATTATAAATGCAGCGGTTGCTATTCTTTTAGCAGACAATATTAAATTAATGCAAGAGACATCTAGCCAGATATTAATGAAACTTATGGCAATTAAAGATGTTAAGTTATTACACGGAGCTGTTGAAAGTTTGATGCATTATTCAGCGTTTGAAACTTCGATATTGCCTCAGATATTACGACATACTGTTACTACCGATTTTAATAACGACAGTCTACATTTGCTCACCAAAATAGTTAAAGCAAAGGCACCGCAATGTACTAATGGTATCAATTTAAATAAGTGGAAGAAGTACGTTTTAGATATACGAGGCGCCAAATCTGATAATATCAATTTTTTGCTAAAAGAATTGAAAGCTTTATCGGATAATAATATACCAACTAATGCACTGAAAGTATCGATCATTTTACCACATTTGAAACCTTTACCACAAGAATTTAAAGACATTCTAAAAGAAGGAATATCTTCCTTATGCAAGAAAATATTAAACGATACTAATACAGAAAGCGGTAGAAATAAACTATGCTTCGCTTTCTTATTAGTTTTAGAATCAGCGATTCACATTTTCGAACCCGAAGTCCTGCATCAGTTCTTGGAGACCTGTGACATAAAAATATTGCACCTTATAACTAAATATCCTGACAATAAATTGATTTTAAACGCAGTTGATTTATGTATAACGTATTTCAGTACATCGCAGCAACGAGAAATGTATGTAAATCAAATTGTTTTTGATGATTTGAATAATAGCATCATACAGAAACTGAGTTCGCCTTTCAGTGAGGTTCGTTTAATCGTAACTCACTTATATTCGTTGTTCTCCGATGTTGAAGAAATTGCATCTGTTGTCGATACTGGAAAAAGTGTCATGGAACTTATGTACTTGGCAGAATGTGAACCAATTACCGTACAAAGTTACCGTGACAGATTGTTGCATTTACAAAGTTTAGTATTCGAAAGTAACGCAGTGGCATGCTTGAATCCTAAATACCACGAAGTTCCGTTGCGGTATTTGTTAGGAAATTTGTATATAAATTTTTCATTACTATGGGAACCCGTCAGTAAGATTATAGCTACCTATGCTCTTAAAGAATGTGAGCAGTTTTGGTCGATATTCTTGACTGAATTAAAATGTAATTACGAAGGGACCATAGATCATGCTCCGTTGTACGAGTGCGATGTTGTTTCCGACATAGAATTGGCAATACGTAGAAGCAATGACAAACCAGACTATGAAAATCATAAAATTCTTTTGTGGAAGTGTATGGCACATTTTTCACATTTCTGTGAGACAAAGAACAGAGATTTGACCGTATTGTTTATCGATTACGTAAACGAGAATTTCTTTAAGTCAAATTCCGAAGATGCCAAGTGTTGCAGCATTTTGAAGCCGCAAGAGTTAAATACATCCGATGATGTAATAGAAACTGATATGCAAGAGAGTGAAGCAGACGAGAATGAAATGGACGAGAAAGAGGAAAAAGAAACTACAATTTCTACAAACACAATACCTAAAGAAATAGATAAGGAAATTAAACAATCGTTTGTCCCAAGAAGGAACTACAAAACGAAGCTTTTAATTGCACAATTGGAGATATTTGAAAAAGTAACGAATCCGAAAACATTATATAGGGAGTCAGAGGTGCAGAAAATTTATTTAGATTTATTATCATCGAAAAATTCTGATATTCAAAAAGCTGCTTTAAATTGTCTACTCAATTACAAGCACAAATATCTTTTACCATATAAAGATAATCTGTACAATATAATCAGCGACAAAAATTTGAAAAATGAATTAACACGTTTCAAGATTGATAACGAGAGCAACATGATACAGAATGAACATCGAAATGAATTCGTACCTATATTGATGAGATTGATTTATGCAAAAATGGTTTCAAAAACGGGAATGAGGACTGGCGGCAAAGTTGGAGGAAGTTTGAAGCGAAAAATGATTTTACGTTTTCTAGCTGGCACTCAGGAAAATGAAATGATTATATTTACAGAAATGGCGTTCAAACCATTTAAGAAGTACATGCCTTTTGAATTGGAGAGAAAAATCAATTTGAAACAACTCACAACTCGTATAATTGATACAGTAGATTTGAATAATGTTATTCCACCTAAACGGTTGCAGAGTGCTGCAAATTTACTTGCGATTTTAATTGAACAATTTGGTAGCAAAATGGCTCACAAGTTGTTGCCTTATTTACTTGGTTTGGTAATGTGTATCCTAGCAGAAGTTACTGGAATCTTACAAAAATCGGATAAAGTTCTAGCTGGTTACTTACCATCCATCAGAAGTGTACGAACAACTTGCATCTCAATATTAGCAAGATTTTTTGCTCACTTCGAAGATTACGCATGGAGCGAACATGAAATAGATGCCTTATTCAACGTGGCAGTATTCCCATGGTTGGAGAAACTACCCATGGAGGGTATTCACAGCCCTACACCCTTATTAAAATTGTTCATGGCATGGAGTAAAAATTCTCGTTACTACTCGTTGTTTATAAAACATCGCGAAGATAATAAATCTATCAGTCCTCTTCCATACGTTATGCAACTTCTTGTAGGCCCAAAAACTCATGCATCTGTAGCTAATGCTATACTTGAGATGATAGAGAAAATGGTAACGCTACAAGATTATGGGAAGACAAATGAGAATGATATGGAAACTGATGCACCATTCGTTCCTTTGACTCCTGTACTTACTAATTTACTAGAAATAAACGAAGAAGCTTCATTCAGTGGCGTTAATTATGGTTCTATCGTACTTCTTCCTCACGTCTTCAGTATCTTGGAATATATCAAAAGGAAACTTGGAAAGTCTAACAGAGGAGTGAACAAAACAGAGTTAGTCATTTTATCACGTATTTCAGAGTTTGTGAAAGATCCAAATTCGTGCGATACGCTCCTTACTCTCATTGTACCGATATTAGTGAAGAGAGTCTTTATGGGAGATGGAGAGGAAACGATCATCGAATTACTTACAACTGTTATAAATCTTATAAAATACATGAAAAAGCCAGAGATTCATATACGTTCAATTTTACCTTTATTGGGCATAATATCATCTACACCTGCTAGGAAACTTTTCTTAGAACTTTACAAAACCATCGCTGAAACATCGACGGAAGATCGTCGTGAAACATTGATACGAAATTACAATGTAATATCCACGCTTAATTCGTGGGATCGCAGATGGATCGATCAACCAGATTTTCAAAGGAGATTGGATGCATTTACTGAGATTAATAACGCGATCGAAAAGGATGAAATTACGTTAGAGTTCGGCGTAGCTGTTATTTATAACTGTTATTACTTTCTTAAAAATGAGACAGATTTAGCAATGAGAGATTATGCAGGACAGTGTCTTAAACTTATTGGTCCGAAACTGGCGAAAAAGTACAAGGAAAATGTATTAGATAGACGCTATCTAATGGACGATACAATTTTAGCATTGATAAGGAAAGGAATTGTTAGTAAAAACGATGTTGTACGACTTGTATCGATAGGTTTCTTAGGATGTATGGCTATGGAGTGTCCAGAAGTACATCCTGTTTTGCGAGACTTGTCGCCATTAACGAACAAAGTGGATCCCGAAGTGGATTTCTTTGAAAACATGCAACATTTACAAATGCACAGAAGAGCTCGCGCATTGCTTAAGTTTTGTAATTTAGCGAAAACATTGAAAAGAGCACCGAATCCAAAAACATTGACGCAATTTATTCTTCCTCTTGCTTCTTCGTATTTGTGTAACGAAAGTTTCATACATAAAAACAGCATCATCGATGCTGCGATCGAAACAGTTGGAACTGTGTGTAGACTTTTACCTTGGCATCAATACGAGATCATCTTAAAGCATTATTTAGGGAAATTAAGAAGTTCTATCGAATTTCAAAAGCAACTTGTTAGAGTAGTTGTCGTTATCCTAGATTCTTTTCACTTTAATCTGTCGAAGTACAAATCCGTCAAAGAAATTTCAGAATTGAGAAATGTTAGAATTACTAAAGGAGAAGATATAGTTCTTGATGAGAACGAAAAGAAGGATGAAAATGATACTGAAAAAACTAACGGTGAAAGCATCGATCAAGAAGTAGAGGAAAAATTAGAAGAAGCTTTAAATTCTGAAACTGTAGAGAATGCACAAGAAGTTGTTGAAACATTTGAAAAAGAAGCAGAGGAAGATATACCTGTGATGGAAAAGCAAACGATACTGTCACAGAATGGAGCACAAAGAGTCGTGTTTAGTATATCTAAAGAACTGTTACCGCAACTTCATCGTTCTATTATGGCAAAAACCAAGCACGACAGTAGTCACAAAATTAATAAAAAGAAGGTTTCATTGGAAAACGAGGAAGAAGAATTAATGCGTGTTCCCATTGCACTTGCATTTGTTAAATTATTACAGAAATTGCCTGAATGCATTCTCGATACGAATTTACCAGGGTGAGTGCATACATTTCTATATGAAATCTATAAACTATTTATAATTATTAACTTCTTAACACTCTATAATAAATTGCTACAGAATCTTTATGAAGTTATGCACATTCTTGAAGTCACGTTTGGAATCAGTACGACGCGTTACACGAGAAGTTTTACAGAAGATTATGATAACTCTGGGTCCAAAATATCTTCATTATCTGTTAAGAGAAATGAATACATTGTTAACAAAGGGTTTTCAGGTCCATGTTCTTGCATTTACGGTACAATCGGTGCTAGTTGCTCTGAAACCGTATTTTCAGAAATTTGATATCAATACAAATCTCCAAAGTATTTTATCTGTAAGTAGTATTGCATATAGATTTTAAAATAGTAAATCTGAACCCTGTTTCAAAATGAAATAATCTATTTTACCTACTTAGGTATGCAAAGTGGATCTGTTTGGATTAACAGCAGAAGAGAAAGAAGTAATGGGCGTTGTAAAAAATGTAGCAGAGGCGAAGTCTACAAAAAGTTTCGATATCTTCCATATACTGGCGCAATATATCACAGAATCTTGCTTGGTGGATCTGATTTTGCCATTGAAAGAAGTGCTGATGAGAACCCACTCGCACAAAACTGTGCAGAAAGTGGTGGAATGTTTAAGAAACGTTGTATTGGGTTTAGCTGATAACGCTTTTATACCATTAGACCAAATGCTGATATTCCTTTATGGTATATGTACTGAAAGCATCCCCGAGCTCGTACCTGAGAGGAAGGAGAAGCAGATGACAGAGAAAGAAGCAAAGGCGCTGGCTAGACAAAAACCAGATTCTTTCATTATACCGCCACAACCGAAAAATAGAATGGGCGTAAAAGTTGCTTCGAAAACGTCGAGAAATACTAACGTTCACGTCATTATAGAATTTGGTTTGAAATTGTTTCACATTTTACTGAAGAGAGACAAAGTATCTTCTGCAGAGTTCAAACCTTTTATAGATCCATTCGTACCGCTTATGAGCGATTGTTTAAAATCTCAACATGTCAAGGTAATAATTTAAATAAAAATGAACGATTTTACGATATATTTAAGTCCTTATTCTAATTTTCTTTTTTCAGTTGAGCACGTTAGCGTTACAGTGTTTAAATTGGCTGCTCAAGATGGACCTATCTTCTGTTCAGGACATAACCTCCGATATCTGTTCCTCCATATTCGGTATATTACACAAATATGCTGCAGCGGGTTTGAGCAAAGGAGATAACTTTGATCTCGTTATGGCTGGTTTCAAATGCATGTCTGTAATTGTTCGCGACGTGAAACATTACACAATCAGCATCGACCAACTGAAAGTTCTGATTATGTACGCCGAACAAGATATGCACAGCAGCGATAAACAGGCGACAGCGTTCGGTTTACTTAAAGCGATAATTGCTCGAAAGATGGTCTTCCCTGAAATGTCCGCGGTCATGGAGAAAGTCGCTGCTCTGAGCATTACGTCCGAATTAGAACACGTCAGGCAGCAATCTCGCTCCGTCTTCTATTCGTATCTGATGGAGTATCCCCTTGGAAAACAATTAAACAAACATATAGCATTTTATTTAACACAACTTAGTTACGAGATGCAACCTGGTCGATTGAGCGCGTTGGAAATGCTTTACAGTATCGTTACTGGATTTCCATTAGTACGTACTTTCAGAGTTTTTATCTATACCAAAAATAACAAAGATAAAGATAACATAATAGAGAAAAACATAATAGAATATATATTACTATATTAACGTATAATTTAAATTGCAGAAAGCTCTAATCTTGAGGTCAGGCCTCATATTTGTAATGGCAGGGGCGAGGTTGGTAAACGACGAGGATCCAACTTGTCGCAAATTGTGTGCAAAGTGTATTAAAGAAATGATTACACGCTTGCCTCATAATAATAGGAGTAAACTTTTCGATATAGTCGTGGAATGGTTGAAAGATTCCAAGGTCATTATATGAAGATCAAATCTCAAGGATCCCTATCACGTTCGGTAGTTCATACAATTAATTATTTCAGATGATGCATCGCACTTTGGCTGCCCAGTTGTGCGGTATATTTGTAACAGTAGAGAAAGATACTTTCGAGTCTCGCCTGAATGAAGTATTACCCCTCCTATTGAAACAGTTTCACGCGAAGTTCGACGACAAAGACGAACCTGGCCGTTTCGTAAAATTGCAAACAACCGAAGACACCGAATTAAAATTACAATGGAACATCAAGGACCCAGAAAGAATGAAAGATCATCACATGTTTCAAGTCTTGCAGTTGTTATTAAAAATATCGGCGAACTGCGCAGCTTTCCTCAAGAACGAAGAGCACAAGGAGACAGTCCGTTCCTTTGCTGGTAAATTTACTATTCCGGCATATTGTTAAACGATTTTTGGTTTTCGGAGATCTAGTTCTATGTATATTTTAGAATACAGTCAGCACTTGCTAGCACATCCGCACACATGGGTTCGTTTAGCAGCGTCTCAAATGATCGGTTTTATCTTGGCTGCCCTCGATGTTGACAAAGTCGTAGACTTCATGGAGAATCCAGAAAAACGCGAAACAGAAACCAGTTATATGTACTCTGATCCTGTCGTCGTCATAAGAAGCTTGACTTTGGATTTAATAGCACAATTGCAACCTGACATGACGTTCGAGGATCTGACCGACCAAACGGTTAAAAATTTAATTTTTGTGGCAAGAATTTTGAAATCTATCAAAAAATCCGATAAAAACGCTGATGATCAAGATGGCCAGGTGAAAGAGAAAGACGAGAACCTATTACGTCTTCCTTGGCTCGTTAAAAGACTGAGAAAGGCTGTGAACGTAGAAATAACTCAGGCTCCTAAATCGACAACAGTGGTACATCAAGTTCATAATAATTTTTGTATTTTTATAACTGTCATGGCAAGAGGTAATTGTAATATTTCAATTTGTTCAGCGAACTGCATTCTTCAAATGGGTTGCTGGTGCAGTCGTTACCATATCTATGGAATATTTAAACGAGGTGCTTTTCAATATTATGTCGCTCATTATACGGGAAATATCAAGCGCGGAGGAAAGTAATACCTTTCTACGGCGGTTGGCGAAAGAAGCGGCCGTGATGATAAAAAAACGTTTAGGCAACGAAGAATACACAAAGTTATTGAGCAGGGTACAACAGAAGTTAGACATTAGAAGAGCAGAAAGACGAAAAATGCGAACTCAGCAGGTGGTGTTTTGTATTATCTTATGTTTTTGTAGGGTTATATTTTTTGCAGACGAACATATTTCAATTCTTGTTGCAGTTCGTTACGGATCCGGAGTTGGCCGCGAAACGTAAAATTGCAAGGCAACAAAAGAAAAAGGAAGCCAGAAAGCGGAAAATGGATACAATGAAAGGCAAAAAAGTGACAAGGAAGCGTCGTAAAAAAGAAGTTGATCTAGATATCATATGAACATCCGGTTTAAAGCAAATTCTAAGTGTACGAATTGAAGTTAGTCAATCAAAAAAGAAATTCGTTAATTTTTCAGAGAATAATACGAGGATACAGACCATTTTGTGGGACCCAAACAATATATACATACATTTTTTTTACATTGCGGATTATAGCCAAAGACTATAGATCCTTATTGAAACATATGTATATTGTATTAAGTAATAAATTATTTTAAATAACATGACAAATTCGTAGCTGGTTTAGTTATACCAAAACAAAATTTAGCTTCGTCTATATTTATGTAAAATACGTACCTACGGGGATCTAACGATCGAAGTATTAAAAGGTGTAAAAATAAGATAGAACATGTCAGAAAAAAGGCAATACGGTGATAGATAGTATGATTGACATGTTTGCTTTATCTTTTAATTAATACATTAAATATATTCGCGATCGTGCATAACGTGGGCGGTTATTATCAGCATTCAAGAATTCAAAGCAATTAAAAATAATCAAACATCCTCTAAAACATAAAACTAATAATTGAACAGTATAACATTGGGATAGCTCGGTTAAACAGTTAATTTATCTTATGTTGAATAATCGAAACTGTTACGCAATAAAAAACAATGCTTGTTACTAAGTTTAGTATCTACTATGCAAGTTTCATTACTGCTATTAAATCAAATAAAAGGTCAATTACAAGAAAAATACTATTTTATAGAGAAAGAGGTCACGAATATTTCTGTGACTTATTCTATCTATGTATACATGCTGTTATCTAATTTATTTCTCGGCGAAATCGGTCAACGGATACGATGATTATCTTTCGTAATTTTTTTTTTCTATTCTTTCCATTAGGTAACTACATGTCCACTATTTTTATGAATTGAATTATATTATTGTATTAATTATAGAGTATATCTAACATGTAATGTATATTATGATATATTATAAATGCGTATAATCCGCGTGTCTAATGATTTTTCGGCAAAAGAAAGTGTTCCATCGGGTAAAGGTATTCATGAAACGAAGCTCGCGTTTGTCTGTCCTAGGCGTATTATAACTTAAGAGTAACGTTGTCACGTAATTGATACCGAACACGACGTTATAGCGAGCCTACGTAACGTTATGCTGTGACCTGAGACCGAACCCATCAGGCAGGAAAAGTTGTCTAACTATATCACATTGAAGCATCGCCAACTCTGTCTTCTTTCTTTCTTCGACTTTGATATGCTCGCAAAGAAAGAGCCGAGAGCTTAGCTTATAGAACTACTCGGCCCAGGCACAGGCTTATCGAGGGAGCCGTGTTATCGGCGATAGTTGGGCGCTCATAAACTGTTGCGATCATTTCAACGTGCATACACTGCATGTTAGTTACGACCAGATAAAATTCGTCAAGGAATCACTAACGATCGTTCGCGGCACTTTGGCATAGTCTACGTTTGTTCGCCATCAGACTTGGTAGCCCCGGTGGAAATAGAATTCAATAAACACGCTATTAAACGATACGTTCCGCGATGTTCGTCACAGGGACGCTGATGATCGTGGTGGTGGTGTTGCTACTGATTAATCTGGCGATCAAGCTAAGATCGGAAGAACATCCGCCAGGTAACGGAAGTGCGTGTGGACGTCTTGCGTAGCGTTTGCTTGATCGGTACAACGGTATCAATATATCGATCGCTTCTGCATCTACGCGTCCCTCCTTATCATCGTGTAATATCGATACGTCTGATCCTTCGCGCCGCAACAATTGTTTCATTTTAATTTCTTGTCAATACATTTCCGCCGAAGAAAACTAAGAAATAGAATCTTTCGATAGTGGAAATCCGTTTTTAATTTTCTACCGTACCTTACAGAGAATTTCATTTTTATATCGAAGCGTTGAACGAACTTTTACTTGGCTTTCTTTACCGTACGAGGAATAGCGAATGAAATTTAAATAAAAAAAAAAAAAAAAATGAAAACACCGGCGAGAACGACTCTTTATATTTCTAAGGAATTGTGTTCTTGGTACGAGTAGAAAATATTTTTGAGAAAATTAGAAACCGACGAGAACGTATATAGAATATATTCTAGATTCAATTAACGAATATACGTCAACTAATAACAGAGACAGAAATTCGAAAGAATGTTTACAAATCAATTAAGCGATTGATAGTTAAATGACTTTTGAAACATCAAAACAATCGTCTAATTTATACATATTATTACATACGAAACACTGTCTCTGTTTATCGCAATAAATCGTTGAACCATTCGTTGTCCTTACGCTTCAGTTAACGTAACGTTATCTGGTCTTCTCACGATACGTACAACAAGATCATTTCCTTAAAACGCATTATCATTCAGGTCCATTCCCGTGGCTGTATATCGGCAACTACTTTTTACTGAAACGTCTCGCACGTGAACTTGGAGGACAGCACTTGGCCTTCTCTGAACTTTCCAGGCGATACGGCAGCGAAGTGATAACCTTAAATCTCGGTATCAGCAAGATGATAGTGGTATCCGGAAGCAAGTCCGTCCAAACGGTGTTGGAAAGCGAGGAATTCGACGGACGACCTTGGAACGAGTTCATCAAAATACGAAATTTTGGAAAGAAGCAAGGTAGTACCGCTACCTTACCTCAACGTTAAGTCGACGACAGTATTCTCACGATATTCTCTATTTCAATAAACCGAATGATTTATATTCAGGCGTAACGATGAACGACGGACCGCATTGGAAGTTCCTGCGCAAATGGACCATATGGACCTTGAAGTCCCTCGGCTTCGGGAAATACGGCATGTCGGAGATGATCAAGGAGGAGCTAACGATCGCGTTGGAGAGTTTGAAGAAGGGAGGCGTATATCGATTGAAACCCGTGATCAGTCCCGTCGTGATAAACGTCCTGTGGAGGCTGTCGACCGGAGCGCGCTTCAGCGAGAACGCGAGGTAACGGAAATCTAAAATGGAAGGTAACGATCCGCGGCGAGAGTTTAGAATCGATTCGAAAGCGTGTCGCGCGTTCGTAATTCATCGAATCGTGATCGTTTATTGTCTCTTCGACGTCTTGCCCCACAGATTAGACTACTTCGTCGACTTGATGGAACGTCGAGCGCGAGTTTTCGACATGGCCGGAGGGATTCTCTCAAGTTTCCCTTGGATTCGTTACGTCGCGCCCGAGGCGTCCGGTTACAAACTTCTCGTCACGCTGAACACCAAGCTCAAGGAATTCCTGATGGTGCGTACGGTACGCGAATCGATTACGATATCTTCTCCTTGTTAAACGATACTTTTCATCTTCAGGAAATCATCGTCGAACACAAAGAGAAGTACGTCGCGGGGAGCGAGGCGGACCTGATAGACATGTTCATCCACGAGATGGTCAACGAGAAAGGAGAGGATCCCATCTTCACTGGTACGCTTCCTCGAGAGTATCGCGTCTTTGGGATAGTTTCTTCCCGCTTCTGCGACTAATTACATTTTTTCTAATCTTGTTTCTTAGACGATCAATTAGTGATGATAATGATCGACCTCTTTCTCGCTGGCGTCACCACTACGGAGACGACTTTGGAGCTCCTTTTTCTGAACATGGTGGTGCACCAGGACGTCCAACGGAAGCTTCAACAGGAAATCGACTCCGTGATTCCACCTGACAGGCTTCCTGACTTGTCCGACATGCCGAAGTAATTTCTTTACGTATCTTATGTTTATTCCTTGGTCAACGAAGAGGAATGTAAGCTTCAAGTATATGAAATCAATGTAAGCTTCAAGTATACGAAATCAATGTAAGCTTCAAGTATATGAAGTCAATGTAAGCTTCAAGTATATGAAGTCAATGTAAGCTTCAAGTATATGAAATCAATGTAAGCTTCAAGTATGTGAAATCAATGTAAGCTTCAAGTATATGAAGTCAATGTAAGCTTCAAGTATACGAAATCAATGTAAGCTTCAAGTAGGCACGGATTAACGGGTGATTCAGGGGGATTTAGGAACGAGTAGCTTGCAATCTTTGGCTTCGCTCTTCGAGGGCCCCAATTTACGTATAAATAGATGAAGAACCAGGGTTCACAAGTTAAAAACTCGAATGGTAAAATTGTCAATAAAATCTGTACAGGCTTCCTTACGCGAGGGCTGTGATGACCGAAACCCAACGTCGCTGGACGGTGATACCGGTGATCGGACCGCGTCGCGTTCTACAGAAAACGAGACTCGAGAACTACAGGATACCAAAGGACAGCACCGTTTTGATAAACCTGAACTCCGTCCACATGGACCCCGATATCTTCCCCGATCCAGAGAAATTTCAACCGGAGAGGTTCCTCAAAGACGGAGAATTCGACAACGCCCCAAACACTTTGTTTTTCGGAAAAGGTATCCACTCGCGCACGTTTACGTTAGCTTTCGTTGAAGTAGCTTCACGTTCGTAATTACGTTAAAAACGTCTCTACATTCGGTCTCAGATTTTAATGAATTTACATCTCGGGGTCGCTAATCGTTACCCATTTTTAAATAATCTATGATCTCTATTTTTACAATGTATCGAAGTTACAGCTGCCTAAATACCATTTTCATTTGAATTGAACAAATTCACGCGAAGATCTGTACGCGTAGAAATTTTGAAATCGGTTTACACAAAACTGCGGTGGTCAATTTAAATCGAAACGGGCTCGCACGATTCGTATTTAATGAAAGAACAATCGAGGGAAGTTTCGTCGAAATCCTTCATGGAATAAATCCACCGAACGACTACTTTAACGAGTCCGCGACGATCGTTTAGGTTTCGTGAAGAATTTCACGACGTCGATTCGAAAACGGTAAACGCGGACTGTCTTGTAAATCCGGACGCCGTCTGCGAAAGGTTAAACCGCCATAACACGTAACTATGCGTGCCGGCACCTTTTCTCTGTACGTTTCCTGATGTCTCTAGGAAAGTCGGAAACGCGGTTGACGCGCGGTGAAAAACGAGCGTAAACTTGTCACCGTAATTATTACCCCGAGGAGAGGATTTACTATACAGGTGCCACTTAAGACGGGTTAGCTGGATAGCTCGTTTATCTTTGAAGCGAGAAGAGAACGTTACGAACAGAAGCTGTTGATTTCACGGGGAGACATGGCGTGGTGAGGTTTGTCTGGTTACAGGTAGCGCCAAGGACATCTGAAGATCTAGTCTGATTTTTTTTTTCTCACAGAGATTATCATCGTTTCCTTGAATTGCTCTTCAACGACCTTGGAAGATCTTGAACTATTTGTATTTATCTCGCCAAGAATCGTTTCGTTTCCCTTTGAAACTCTAATTGTTCCAATATCTGTTTTCTTTTCCATTTTAGGAAAAAGGCGCTGTCCCGGCGACGTGTTGGCGAAGACGGCGTTGTTCCTTCTGTTCATCGGTGTGATGCAAAAGTATTCCCTGCTTCCGGTTCCTGGTAAAGGACCGACGTCCATAGAAGTAACTTCTGGCATATTGATCTCGCCCAAGCCATACGACATATTAGTCGTGCCACGAATAAATAATTAATCCGACTACTTTAGATTCGACCGTGAACTTCCGATCCATCGAGCCGATTCTTTCCGTATACTTTTACTCAGTCGTTGCAAATATTGAGTAAGACACCACCGGTCCAATCGTCGACATAAAAGATGTCGTAGGTACCTCGCAAACGCGTTGTTTTCACTGGAATAGTAGTTATTAAAATAAAGATAAGGAAATTTTCTACAGAAAGATGTCATATATTTTCTTATCTTTCCCAAGAAACACTCAGGCTTCGCCAGAGGTGGCTGAGAATAGGAATCGTCGACAACGTTCCGTTTCTCTGCCAGGTGACTGCAGAAAACGTACCGGTCTACTGCGGTATACTCTGAGAGTCGCGGTAGCCTCGGAGGATTTGTTTATAACTAGGGTGATAGGGATGCACTGGCGGAAACTCGGTCCAGTACGATCCAAACATAAGATAAGATAGTCCTTTGTTTGCATAAGGTGCGGAAACTTTAAGCACGAGTAACCAAGAAATAATTAAACGATGTTTCCACGCGCATCGGTTAGACGTTTTCCGTTCGGAGGAACTCGACACGCGGATAGACGCCTGTTTGCTTGAATTAAACAAATTTTTCTCTCAAATTTTGTTTATTGTTCCTGCCGCTGGAAAGTCGCTTTAGGCGTCGTTTCACGTGTTCGTCGAAATCATCTCGTTTCGCGGAAGTCCAAATGTACCGTCAGCGTCGCGCCACGTGGCGATTCAGTCCTTTTATGTATACGGAGCCCCAACGCTGGCTGCTAAATGTTTTCTTGCCGCTGGAAATTAGACGTCATCGAGGCGATAAGAACACCTTTATTTAAAATGAATCTCGGTCCAAGCATTAGCGTTCTTTAAAATATTTTCATCCGTTGCATATAAATAAATATACTTTGTCCATTTAAATATTTTTGTACGCTAATATCTATGTTGCGTTTAAACTAAATTTTGGTTACGATTGTGAAAATAAATTTACTCACGATACTTTCCGAATCTCCGTTTACGTGGCTCGCGATGTCGGATCTCGCGGTGAGCTTCAAGTAATACGGTTTCGGCGATATAGTGAAACCATCGTAACCATTCGGGTCTGGCTCGTCGTGGTCAGGTGAAATTTCGATGTCGAAATAATGTATAACGTAGGCGAAGAACAAGAATAAGGAACTGCGGGCTAGCATTTCTCCGGGACACCGTCTCTTGCCTGAAATACGCGCGAATCGTCGTCATAATGGGTTCCGTCTTTTTTACAATTTGCGTGGGCGTCGCTAAACGTCCAATCAACCAATTCTCGCGAAGTATTACGTGCTCCGCGTAGAGTTATGGCGACTTTAAGCAATCGTTAAGTATCGTTTCGCTGGATCGAATTTCTTTGAAAAATTTACATTTTTACCAAATTTCATGGTGAACGAAATATTAATATTATTAATAAATATTAATGGTAATCGTCCCACGTAATTAATTTGAGGTAGCTACCGGTTACCTAAACCGAAAGGCATGCTCGCATTTTTCTGACTGAATCGGCCACTTTCGTCCAGAAATCGTTGCGGTCGAAACTCGTGCGGGCGATCCCAGTATGCTTCGTCATTGTGAACGCTATGAAAATCCAGAAGGACGATTGTATCCTAAAACAATGAGAATGTGTACAATAAATGAATCCCTACCGCCGTTTCTCTATGTATCGTACGTAGACCATTGTATGTATCATATTTACCTTTGGTATGCGATATTCGTTGAGAGTTACATCCTCCATGGTCTTGTGAGGTACTCCGAGAGGTGCCAGGATCAAAAATCTCTGCACCTGGTTAAAAGCCATTTATTTAACTTCCTTTATTCCAGTTTAATAGGTCGAATGTCCTAATCAAATCTATGGAACAATCCCTTGTACAGTTTCTACACTGCTCTACACTCCACTTATTAATATCATTGTTTGAATATCTTCCACAAAATCTCTGCCAACAATTCCTTACCCGATATAACGTTACAGTTCGCGTTACAAACCTAAAGAACACGCTCACCTCTGCAAGGAACGATTCCATCAACGGCATCGACGGATAATCTTCCAAAGCAGGGGCCCTTGATCTACCCACAACATTATCCAACTCATCTCGAAGCGTTTTGATCCACTCCGAGTGCAGGGACAGAAATAGCAACGTGGTCGCCAAAGTGTCGGTCGTGGTCTTCGAGCCAGCCAGAAACAGGTCCAGACATAGTACCAGTAAATTCTCTCCTGAAAAAAGACGAACCCGTTCAATGCGCACACGAATCCTTCATTCAAGACGAACAAGAAAGATTACACACGATCAAAAATTGTCTCGCTACGCTTGCCGTCGTTGGAGGAGATCTCCAAGAGGAAGGCCTCGATGAGATCCTGAGGCTCGTTCGATGACAAACGCTTCTCGTGGACGCTTATCTCCTCGTCCAGGAAGCTCCAAAGCTTCCTCAGGATTCGCATTAGTTCATTGTAACCGCACAACTCTGGTATGACGAAGCGGAGGAATGGTATCTGAGACACTATCCCACCCATGGTGTCCATCAATCTATAATAGAAATTTATATAAATGTACTTGAGACCAACCGTGGTAGAATTGATGGACTTATTTAGAACTAGGTTTCGCAGGTGGAATATTATTTATTTTATGTCGTTCACGTTCCGACCGACTGTTCGGAGGATTCGAAGGTTTCTGACGCACCTGAAGGCATCGTGTACGGTTTCCAGCATCTCCGTCAGCTTTTCATTCTCGTAGTCGAACCTGTGACCAGCAAACATGGACCAAAGAGAGTTCAGTACCGCGATGTCGAAGGCGGTGTGCATGGGAACTGGAGCTATCGCGCTGGCACGACGCAGATACCTCACGAGGTTCTCTGCCTCGACGGTCAACTGCTTCTCCATGACCGACTGGCCTAATCCAAACATCCTGAGGTGGCGCATGGTGAAACGGCGACATTGAGACCATCGTGGGCCCTCGGTAAACAGAATCCCTGACAGGATTCAGAAAATAAAATAATTGTAATTCGGTGAACGAAATTGCAGTCTGCCGAAGAAATTTGTAGTAACGCACACCTTTTCTTTTTCCGAAGGAACGAACCCTGAAGAAGAAGCCGTCGGGTCTGCCGTTGAACTCGTCTCGCAGGAGAACTTTCTTCACCAGGTCGTGCGTCGAGATCACAACCACCTTTTGGTTTCCCAGCTTCAGGCCCAAGATTGGTCCGTAGGTCCTCGTCAGTTCCTGAAATGCTAGATAAGCGTATCCATTTTTCGCCCTCAAGCGTCGGAACCCGAGGAAGCAGCCCACAAGCGGCAGCCATTTTGGACCTAGGCAGAAGATGAACGTTCCGAAGAACTAGTTACGTATCTAATTAAACGGCACACATGCAAATATACACATACAAATATGCACATACAAATATACACATACAAATATACACATACAAATTATATACATACTACACACATTTGGTAATTAATTTTTAGAAATTTTTGAATGACGTATAATAGTTTAATTACAGAGAAGTATTTTCTGTGATAGATATAAGGTCACCAGAGACGTCTACCGAGAAGACTGCTACTTCCAGGAGTCTAGAACGGTTCGTTTTATTACCGAAAATTCTTAATCGAATTTAAAAAATTGTTCACACGGGTACGTATAATAGTTTAACTACAGAGAAGTATGCGATAGGCAAGGCCACCACAGATGTCTACCGAGAAGACTACTCCCAGAGGGCAATTTTACTAGGGCAATTTTACTAGGGCAATTTTACTGCCACATACTCGATTACATTTAAATTAACGATTAATTTCTAATATATTTAAGTTTTAATTGCGGATCCACTACGCACGAACGCACCAGGAGGAAAATTGCGCGGCTTGAGGCAATCGTAGAGGCAGAAGGCACAGAAAAGGACGAAGAGAAGCGACATCGCCGCGCACAGCATCTTCGGATGCACTGATTCGTTCAATTCGTGACTTCGAGCGCGGTTTCGTATACCAAGCATATATACGTACGGCAACAAAAACGATTCTGGTGCCACCCTCTGATATTATCGGCGTGACACCCATGGCCTCCGACGAAAATATCTTTTTGTGCCGAGGCATCCTTTTCACGGCGCTCCCTGAGCTCGATGCTCCGTTATAGAAGTGTCATTCGTCTTTTTTATAACTCTCCGAGAACGCAACGATGAATGGACCTCGTTAGCTATGCTCTCGACGGAACCGGAGAATTCTCTTCGTCGCGATGCAATAACTGCGCTACGCTACGGATAATAGCTACGCTAGCCGTAGCGTAGTACGTCGATCATTTATTTTAATACAAGTTTCACATCGTTCATCCGCATGCAAGCGACTCGCTCGCGAGACACACTTTTCGACCCAGAACACGGAATAACCGTGGCCAACGACCCCGCGATACGGAAGAACTTTTAGTAGAAATTTGTTTTCACCGAAAGCCGGGATACCAGTTGGAGGAGCAATCGCGCCGAACGTGATTGAAGATGTCGGGAAAAAAAGAGGGAAACCTTTAAACTAATTTATTAGACACGCGACAGATTCAGCGGATCTCGAAGCACGTTTCTAAATCATCGTTTACGATGTTTTCCTTACGAGACTTCCGGTCGTAAACTATTTTCCGAAGAAACATCGAGAATAAGAAAATGAATACTTCTCGGAGAACTTTTCTACTCGAGAATTCATTTCTGAAGTCTCGGAAATGGATTCCAACTATTATTTAGAATTTAAGAATTCGTTTCTCGGGTGTGAGAATTTGTTAAAAAATCTTGAGAATGCTCGCATGTATGTTTGATACCAGCGCGATAATCGGTCGCGTCAAGTAGAGCGTGCGTTTCGCGTAAATCGTCTCCTTCGTTTTATCTATTACCGGCTGTTTCTTGCAGAGAAGGTTGCAGAAGAAAACGAATCGAACGGAACAAGAATGTACGATAAGAAGGAAAGTTCCGAAGCCGTTATTGGATTGTTTCCTGGTTGGACAAGCCGATTAAAGCGACCGAACTGGTTCCGCTTTTCAGAGAACCAGAAAGGAAATCAAAAGCGAACAGGTTCACCAACTTGTTAACCTCAGCTGTACATTGTAATGCACGCGTACTTTACGATTATTGCTACTTTGGCTGCTATCGAGTACAACAGAGAGAAAGTATCGCTCCCAGAAACGAAGACAAAACAGGTTACGAAATTTTGCACGAGTCCGTATGGGTTGGCTTCTGCTTTCCCGCGAAGTCTATTTAAAACGATACGGTCGCTGCGAAGTGGTTTGGTTTGAATATTAAAATATTGTTATTTTATTCGTTGCAGGACCGGGCGCCATGATCATCTCGGCGCACAGTGACGACTTCTCCTCGTGGGATTTATTTCTAGACGAAAGCGTATCGAGAAATGTTCGATATTTGGAATAATATTTGTGTTCGATGATTGTCATTGCGCGCTGCGAACGAATATTGTTATAATTATTTTAATTCCATGGGCGTACATTGCGATTTAAAGATTCGGTTACTTTGATGGGATCTCGACTAGCTCGAGTCGTGCAAGAAATATCTTTCTCCGGCCGAAGGAAAGAATGGGGACCGAGGAGGTTAATTGATGCATCCGGTACGTCTTGGAACACTCGGCGATTTATTCGTGTCCGACGTTGACCTTCCGTAACGTCGAGCGTGCAGCGACGAGAAACTTTCAATGCGTCCGCAAAGCGGCTTTAGGGATCGCCTTTTTGGAAAGTTGTGGAAAGTAGCTTTGTCTCACATTTTTGTTCTACATTTGTTTTCAAAGAAATTCCGTACCGAGATATGATAAGCCGATATCTAACTTCACTAGTAGGTAACACTTACTTCGTTCGACCGAGATATGTTGCGTTTTAAAAGCGATAGATGAGAGCAAGCTTCAAGACAATTTTGTTTATCGACGAAGTTTTGAATCGTTCATAGTTATTAATGGCTGTTTGAATAATCACGTAGAGCATTGACATTCATGCATGCAAGCTTCAAACAAACACGCGTGATGTCACATGCCCGAACGTGCATGTTTTACGAGCAGTGTTTGCAGATACAACACTTGCGAAGTGGAAGCAACGGATACCGATTACCTAACTTCCTCGGGACAGTTACTTCTTCCTTAACAACAAAAGTTCAAGACTAAATAACATCGTAAAACGCGAAGCACTTATTACTTTTATACTTTGCTACCTAAAATATTAAATTTAAATTATTAAAATTCTATATTTAGAGCTAACTTAGTATACTATAAGCATCTCGCTGAAATTCCTCTGTAATAAAAAAAGTTACGACCAATTTTGCCTAGGCCTGGCTGTGATTCATGGCAGAAATTACTTTAAAGCGGCGCTAATTGTGCATTGTTTCCTCGCGTGCAACGTTCGCGTCGAGACTCGCCACCAAAGTGTAAAATTGATCGTTATCGCGGCAGCCGTTCGCTATTCCACAGCCAAAGATTTCCATCCGAGTGTTCCTCCACGTCCGAGATCATTAAACATAATTTTCTAGGGGAAACGTCCTTGGCTATCTCCTTAATGGTGTCATTGGGCAACTTTTTTTTGGAGCGCCGAGTTTCGTGAACGTTTCACGGTTAGCGACTCGAATTTACTATTACTTGATGCACGTCTTATTTATTTTGATACTGCGCTTGTAGTCGGATGCATGACGCGTCGGATGCTGAACTTATGCGTTCAGATGCGACGAAACGAAGGGAAGGAAAAAGACCGCGAGGAAAGTGAAAACCGCGTGCGCGTGTGTTGAATCGAATAGAAATTACTCTATACGACATTTCTCCGGTTGTTTTTTATTTCGACCGGCGCGATCGAACGACACGATGAAAAGTTCGACCCCTGGTGACTGGATCGGGCAAAAGTTTCTCTCGTCGCGCTTTGAAGCCGATTCTGTCTCGACAATGCACACAACTCACGACGGAGGCCAGCTAAAGGTATCCACACACGATGATCCTCGTTGCGGATGATCGAACAACGATATTATTGCTAAATTGGGATCAAGTGACTCGATATTGTTCATGCGAAAAGTACGCGGGAGGTGGCGGCGACAGGTTGTCTTTCAACGTTGCTTCAAAGGTATCGTACAAGCGCGAACATACTCATACAGTTTTTGACTGTTCTTATACACCTCGTCAATCCACAGTATTATTATTATTAAACGACATTGTTGTTTACATAGCAGGTACAAGGAGAATATATTGAAAACGTAAAGGAGAGCCAAGGCTTAACAAA